TTGCAGCAGATTGAGGTGTGTGCTTACGGCGTTGCGCCCTCGGGTGGGTTAAGACCGTAGTAGAGCGTACCATTGGCGAGGCGGTAGCTGAAATAACGATCGCGGCGGGCCTGGGTCTCGTTCTGATAGTGAGAGACGAAGAACTGCCAGGACATTTCCGGGTGCTCAGCGTTTGCATTGTACCTAAGCATCCAAGTTAGACCGACATTGCAAATGCTCCCCTTTATTTCTTCTCCTTGTTCTGTTCCGTTCTCGTAGGTTACTTACAACCTAGGGACCTGTTGCAAGAGCTCGTCTCCGCGGTTGTCGCCAGCTTCGATCAAAAAGACTGAATGTCCTTCACGGGCCAAGTTCGCGCTATGTTCCGTCAGTAGAATTCTTCATGGAACAATGGAGAGAGAAGCACGCACGCAAGAGGACCGCCACCAGGGCCAGAGCCAATGACGACATAGTCGTACTCGGCTGCGGCTGTGGCCTTGGCAGCGAGGCCTCCGAGGAGGAGAAGACCAGTGTTTATGACTGTCTTCATCATGAAAACGAGAATGGGTGAAAGTGTATCACAAGATGTACTATCGCACTGCGATGAGTTGATGAAGCTGATGAGGATTGATGAAAAGGAGAGACATTCCGACGCCCTTATATAACGGTTTCTGGTTTCGTTCCCATGAACTACAATGGATCCTCGACAGCTTCATCTTCTCCTTCCCCCACCGCCGTGGCTGACGACGCATGGGCACATCTCAGGGTTCAGGTCTGCAAAGAGGCCTCAAACATAGAGTCCTCGGGGCTTCCTCTGCGGACGAGGTAGCGATAAATCCGAAGCTGTCGCAAAAGGCGAGAACGGCAGTGGGCATCAATGCCGGCTCGCGACTCGTGCTCGCGATTGAGAAACCCTTAAAGCCGGGGCTTTGCTGGCGGGCCGCGTCAAAAGCGATCATAGTTCCAGTTAGCGTTTACGGATCAGCAACCCTGTGCTGGTGCTTATTTCTAAGCTTATTCTCCATACTTGCTTTCCTGCCCATGAGAGAATCCCTGCATCTTGGCGTCACATCTCCCAGGCGGTGGACTGACAAACAGTATGTGGGCAAAAACAAAGACGGCTTTGTAACGTCAAGAGTATAAAAAGTTTGCAATGGTTTGGTAGTTTCGTCCTCGAAGCAGGGAGTAGGACATTAGTAGTCGCATAGCTATCGGTGATTGTCTCGATCTTGGAGCAAGTTTCACGGAATCTAGTTGTTTGAAGGCTGTACCGTAAGCAGTTTCAGTGGGCAGCCGACCCATGGATTCATTCATTCATGGGTAACCGACGTCGCCAAAACTGGGACTGATCAGGCAATTTTTCTACTGGTGCTTACGGCATTCCGTTCACAGGAGCCGGTCAAACGGCACTTCGACAGTTTTGTAAAATTAAAATGAACTGCCTTTCTTTATCGATAGAAATTTATCACCAAACCGATCGATTTAGTTCAATTTTGTTATGCTGCTGAATGAGAGGCCGAATTTTGAAAAAGGGGAGGGTGGGGTGTGTTCTGAGACCTGCTCTGCAACAGTAACAAAACTCATTCTAGGTGCCGTTCCGTTTCTTTCTATATCAGGCTAGCTACGTAAACTACCTAAGTGCTAGTGAATACTCTAGCAGCCCCTAAAAAAGAAATTTGCATTCGTGCTTGGTGCTGTCTATGGGTAAGTAGGTAGATATTATTCCTTCAACAAAGCGGGGAGGATTACTATTCTGGAACTAACAAACCAGTTTTGAATATCACACCATTCTGCGTTGAATAAAAGTGACGTCAAATGCATTGTTGTGATTGCATGACGCACCTGACCTTTCCGTTATTACATCACTGAAACAGATGTAATTTAACCAGCGAAGAAGGCCCATCCTTGAGCAAAATAGACTTGACAAACTTGAAAGAAACAATGAACCAGAGAGATCGGGGTATTGTCTCTACTATCAGATAATTTGTTGGGTATATCAGGAGCAATCATAGGTCATCTGATATGCTACTCTGGAGCATACCGCGAGAGCATCGAATAAAAACGATAACTTTTCTTCACAATGATAAATATTTTAATGGGATACATAGAGTTAATGCACTCCTACCCTTCAAGCACTCATCTCCGAGCACCAAGAGTTGCTTGATACGGGAAAGCCTCATCAGGTGGATGGATATAAGAGAAACTGCGCCACGCTGACTGCGGAGAGGGGGAAACGCAAACCCCGCATCTTGACCCCCTGAATCGCTGGGATATTACTTGTTCTAGAATGTCCTCTCGATCATAAAGTAGTCATCGTCTTCCTGTAGATGAAATCTAGATAAACTATGCACTATCAACGGACGTCTCGACGGTCACATTGCGGATGGTGCTTATGTACGTCTCGTATGACTCGTGGAAGATTTGCCTGAGCCATGCCATTGCTCTTGGCTTCCCATTCTCAATCTCAGATACATGATTTCCCACCGTATTCCTTTCAAACAAAATATGGGCGCCATCCTCGCGCCATTTGCTAACCACATCGTCAACTTTGTCCACTGGACAAACTTGATCGCCAATTGCATGGTAGATGAACATGGGCATGGCTGGTGTTGACCGGGCGCCGATTTTCATTTGCGTCTCGTACAACTCCACCAGAATTGGGGCGTATACATCCTTCTTCCCGTTTTTGCAAAAGGCGTATATATCCTTGCCGCTGAAATGCAGCACAGATTTCGAGGCTTCAGTTTCTAGGACAGAAAGGAACTCGTCTTTCGTCTCCGGTACCAGACAGCTTTTTAAATATGCCCTGGCTTCGGGGTACTGAGCCGTGATGCCCAGCAAAATCGCAATTATGGTTCCAGCAATAGGGCCTTCATTTACGCGATCAAAGCTGCCAGCCAGATCATTGGCCATGCCGCCCAATATTGCGCCACCCAACTTGAGTTCCGGTGCGTAAACCGGCTGCATCTCTGCTGCTGCTGCAGTAGCTGTAGTACCGCCACTGTATCCCCATATGACAATGCTCATCTCTGCTCCCCCAGTTAACTGTGCCAGGTTTTGTACAGATCGGATAGAGTCGAGGGTTGCATGGCCAGCCTGAGCCGTCGCACCAAATGCAGCCATGGGGCCGGCAAAATCAGGCGTGTTGACGATCCAGCCCTGAGAGAGGAGTTGGTCTAAGAAAGACGTGCTTGATTTCAAGCCCAGATGCTTATTCTCCTCAGCAAGTTTGCCATACAGAGCAAAAGAAGGGCTGGAGTCCGGATTGGCCGAGTTGTAGGCAAATTGATAAGAGACCATAACCGCCTTCCCTGAGGGCGAGTGGTAGAAAGATGAAGGGATGAGCAAAGTGGTCACAGCCCAAGAGGGCCGACCTGCTGAATCAGTCGTGCGATACAGAATGTTGTAAGCAGTGCCTAAGGAGTTCCCAATGATGGCAGTGAGATTGCCCGGAGTCTGGCGTATCTTGAGAATTTCTCCCACTCGTTTCGTGTCGAAGTCTAGCGGTGCCTTGTACCAAGGATCCTCTGTTGGTGGCAGCGGCTGGATATCCTCCGTAATCGACTCGCCAGACGTTGGGCCATTCAACGCTTGTTGCACGTGTTGGACGGCTGGGAGATCGAAGAGCCGGGTCAATGTGACCATCGTTGTTTCGTCAGAAGTGGCTTCTTAGTCCACCTCGTTGAGATAACTGTTTCTGTTACGATTGCCGAAACGCTTAACCTACAAAATCCGCTTGTGGCGGGGTCAGTTTTTGTTGTAGTTGAAACTACATCTCACATCTGACATACTGACGTCAAGATGAGAGAAAAACATTGATGACTGGGTAAACACGTGTGCCCAGGCTGACTAACCCGGGTGCAATGCATGGGAAACAGACTGAATGTAACATTAGTAGCAAAGAGCTGATGTTCTTGCTACGAACCGGTCATATAATTTATTAATATTGTAAGCTCAATGGTATTGTCCAGTGAACCATCAACACGGTGTTTCTCACAATCAGGGTAGGGTTATCTACTGTACCTTACCCTTAAAGCTATCAACGCCACCCCCGGGCTTTATCTTTGTGGGTGCTGGCCCGATTATGTATTTGAATAGGTTTGTTGCTGTCTTAGTAAATGTCAAGAGATAATGCTACCGATCGGTTCATGAGATATGGTTGTGAAATAGAATTACGCTTGTGTTGGTTTAGGGTAAGTTGGTTGATGGATGTTGGGAAAGTTGATATTATTAGGATCAGAAGCTGACAAATTGGGAGTGATGGTCTCCCAACAATTCCAAGCAAGCCGTCAAGGATGGATGTCAGAATCCGCTAAATCTGCTAAACATAGTGCAAGAATAAGCACTAACAACACACATCATTCTGTCTGGCGATAAGTGGGCTAGCTCGGAGTCTTTATCTAATATGATCCGGCATCGTCGGATTTGCAAACCACGGATTCGCATATCAACACAAGCTGGAGCCGTTACTCACATCTCTCTCTGACTGGATATTCATACTCGCCGTTGTGGTGTTTACAGCAGTCTCAGCACGGCACGGCCCGGGTTCACAACAACCATATGGACTCTTCTGCAGAGTAGTAGGCTTTGGCTGTGCTTGGGTGAATTTGCAGAGCATGGGTGAAATCCACGGAGTGGAGACGACTGGCAAACTGCCGAGGCTGTCAAGGCCGCCTTGTGGATACAGGTTGAGCCTGACCCCTTTATTCTGGTGATCTATCGTACTCTGCCCAATCACCAGCAAGACTTGGATGAGGCAGACATAAGCCGGGCTATGTTGATGTCCGCGTATCGAGCCCTACAAGGAATTAGATACTTGATCCCAGGTACAGTGGCGCTTTGTCCACGTGTGCCATCTGCCGGCCTGCCCAGATGCGATGCTCTCAACCATTCTTGTCACTGTTTCTCCCAAAAACGTCATCTGTCTCCCTCTGTCATGACTTTCCCTTGACCTTTCGAGCCGCCTAAGTCGACAAGACCGAGAGCGCAATGAGGCTCATCGGATCGCTATCTCTCTTGCTATGTCTGGCATCGCTTGGAGTGATGGGCAAGCCGTCGTTGCTGCCCAGAACGGCCAGAGCGACCGACTCGGACAAACTTCACCAGCGCCGTGCATTTCTCTCCGGTAACACACCCTGCCTATCATGGTTTTCCAAATATTTGAAGCTCATCCCTTCCTCTTCCTCCATCCACAGTCGCAGTGCTAGGGAATTATCTATACATTGAAGGCGGCGAACAGTCTCATTATCTCGATTCAGGGAAAAAGGGCACCGACAGCAACGGGAATGAGTTCAACACGGATGCCGGGGCAGGTAAGTAAATGCAGACTTTGCCTCTCTCAGCAAACGAAATACTTCATGAACCAAGTCTGACCGAGTTGTCGTTTTGTGGGAACAGATCAAGCCGTCACTCAGTTCATTCCCGTAAACCAGCGCTGGGCTCCGCAAGATGTTCAATTCGATACGATCTTGCACGAAGGTTCGGACATGAAGATGGTGAACTTCCCGAGTTTCTGGGCGATTGGGAGTACACTCTACAGATGGGGCGGCCAGTTGAGCAATGGACTACAGTATGCCGAAGGCGACAAACCCTACCTCTTTAGCGTTTTGCCTGGTTCTGGCGGTGGCGGCGGCCTTTCATGGACCAAGAGTCCGATCCCGGATGCAAACCAACTGACAGGCTCAAATATGGCCTCGGCATCCTGCGGCGATACTGGATTTATGTACGGTGGCTACGCCTACAAAGCCACCATGTATGCAGAATCTGATGACACCCGGTATATATCTGGCATGCTCATGTACAACACGACCACGCAGGCCTGGAAAAACTCGACAACGGAGATAAATATTCCTGGAAGGACTTACAGTGCAGGGAAAGGGATGTGTCTTCCCGGGTTTCTCAACCACTCCATGGTAGCCGTTATGGGAGGCACCGATCTCGAGACGTCGCAGTACCGAGCGTTCACGAACTTTACGTTTTACGACCCTCAATTGGACCGCTGGTACTACCAGAAGACCACCAACCCTCCTTCTCCAATGGACGACTTTTGCACCGTCGGTATCCAAAGCACCCACGGAACATATGAAATGTCAGTCAGACACTCAAAATATTCTCCAATTTTAAGGTAGCAAGAGAGAATGACAACTAATTGGGGAACAGATTCCTGTACGGAGGCATCGATCAATCCGGAAAGGTTTCGTCTGATATCTGGGTGCTATCATTGCCCTTGTTTAGATGGTTCCGATACACACTCAATGCCAGTGAACCAAGAAGCAACCATGCATGCGCGATTGCCGGGAAAAGGCAGATGATATCCGTTGGCGGGATTGATCAGACCAACAGCTCAGCTGCTTGGACGTCCCAAGACCCGTGGTATAACACCCTTGGAGTCTTCGACTTGGCCGATCTGAAATGGAAGGATGTATATGACCCGAATCTGGGAGACTACAATACACCAACCGAGATCTGGTCATACTACACAGATCAGTATGCTTGCGGTTCAATCCTGAGAAGAAATTTGCTGACCTTGCATAGAGCACTCGAGCAGATCCAGTGGGATATGACTGAAGTAGAAAACATGTTCATGACACCTTGTATGAGTCTTTCACATTTATGGACCGTTGAGAATTTTTAGCTAATTTACGCCGCCGATAGATTACGAGAAAAATCCAAAAGGATCCCAACCTAGTAATGGCACCACCTACAACAACACCGGCAACAGTAAACCAGTCGGAGCCATTGCGGGAGGAGTTGCAGGAGGTGTGGTAGGAGTTATTATCGTCTCCGCCCTTGTATGGTTCTTTTTTCCTCGACGACGCAGTGCTGAGACTGGCAGAGACCAGTCCAACTCGTGGGAAGACTATTCTAATCAACAGGCAAAAGAGCTGGCCTCAACTCCTCCTGCTGACTCGGGCCCGAGCTATGAGCTTCATTCTACAACAGTCGTGGCAGAACTTGAGGGTGGCTCAACGAGCCATGTGCATTTAAAGCCAAATTCGCCAGGCTAGGGGACCCTTATTTCCGAAGAAGTATATACTGGACCATCAAGAACAGAGATATAATAATTATAGTAGATAGACAAACAACATACCTAGAATAGTTGAGTCTCTTGGCTCGTAGCTTCTTATTATTGAAAGTTACAATATGGGTGAGGGTTCGAATACAAAGTGAAAGACAGCATTGGTTCTAGACTCCGACATGTCGACACAATGAATGGAAAGCCTGAATATCAACACGAATCTAATTACACCAACTAAATCTAAGGTCCGCTAAGAAATGAAGGAAGTTAAAAATGTCTGTTAATACCCCCGTCCCAATTTTTATTCAAAGTAACATCGCGATCCAAATACTAAGGATTTCAGAGATATTCAGACTCAGCGTCTTCGGACTGGTTGTCTTCGGACTGGTTGTCTTCGGACTGGTTGTCTTCGGACTGGTTGTCTTCGGACTGGTTGTCTTCGGACTGGTTGTCTTCGGACTGGTTGTCTTCGGACTGGTTGTCTTCGGACTGGTTGTCTTCGGACTGGTTGTCTTCGGAATCGGTGTCTTCAGACTCGCTATCAAAAGACTCCGTGTAAAAGCCATCAGGGTCAGAACCATCAGGATCAAAATCATCAGGGTCAAAACCATCAGGATCAAAACCATCACGGTCAAACCAATTAGGGCCAAAACTATCGTCGCTCGCCTGCGGCTGCACAAAGAGATCCTTCAGATACGGATTGCTTGTCATCATCTCCGCCGAGTACCCATCATGGTTTTTAATATCAGGATCCACGCCCTCACACCTCAACAAGAAGGCTATCATCTCTGCGCTATGGACCGAGGCAGCAAGAATCAACGCTGTATCGCCATTATTATCTTGATGATTTAGATTTGTCCCCTTGACTTTTGCGAGGACTCGGGCTGTTCGTGGACTATCTTCGCGTATTGCGACCATGAGAGGCGTTTGTCCTTGGCTGTCTAGAGTGTGCGGGTTGGTCTCCGGCATGGCGAGCAGAGTCTGAACGGCGGCAGGGCTGTTGGTGCAGGCTGCAAGGAAGATTGGCGTCCAGCCAAGGTCAGAGCCGCGCAATTCTATGTCCGGGCGTCCCAAAAGGCACCGAATGACATCTGGCTGCCTATTTCGCATGGCCCTAGCCAACGGCTCGCGGGATGGCACATATTGTCTCCGCCCTGTGCTGTCTTTTCGCATGCCACCATTCGGGTCGGATCTTGGGTCTCTGATCAACGCGCATGCGATCTCTTCCGTATCTTCAAATATGGCGTACTCGACAGGGTTGGGCTCACGTCGTGTCCTGAGATTGAGTTGCGGATAATCAAGCAGGGTCAGAACCGATTTGAGCTGCTTGCCTTTGATTGCCCCTTCCAAGGCACTCTTTCCCATCCCATCAATGGCATTGATATCAGTGGCTGGAAAAGATAGCAACAGCCTAATCAAATTGGTATGGCCAAAGTGGCATGCCCACCACAGAGGCGAGTGATGCTTTGCCGTCCGAGAGGGATTCACATCAATATTGCCAGTCTCGATGAGCATCCGCGCGGTGACTTCCTGGTCATTCGCTACTGCTTGTGTGAGCGCATCACCTTGATATATGATAGTGCCGCCGGACTTTAGGTCGCGCTCTGGCTCTTTTCCTCGTTCCTGAATGTCGGCTCCAGCCACGAGCGCCATTTGGACAGTGGTTATGTAACCCTTGGCTGAACCAAAGAGCAAGGGCCATACGCCTTCTGTCGTGATATATCGCTGGTACATCTTCTGATTGAGTTGTGCGTGCAACAGTCGACATACGCGGACCAACTGGTTAACATCTCGATATCGATGGACATGACCAGGCAATTTATTTCCACCCTGAAATAAGTCCTCAGCAATAAGTTGCAGAACCTGGACCGGTAGTTTCAACAGCATCCTGATTTTGGCTCTCAACTTGTGTACTGACGGATGTTCTCGTGCGTATCGTGCCTTTGGGTTTTAGGCAAGGATGGCGAGGGTAGAAGTCGCGGTGAGAGGCGCTCTACTTCCGAGGATATTGGTCTCCACAGCAACATATGAATTTGAAGAAAAAAAAGTACTTTCGTTAGAGTCTACGCTTCCTAGGTATACGTGTTCTTTTCTAACTGAGTGCGGCAGGTGTTGTATGAAGGCCACATAAGGGCTTTTGGCCTGGAACTTTGGTGATATTGCTTGGCGAATAGCCCCGAGATTCTGTGGGGTCTTTGAGCTACAGGAATTTGTGCAAATAATTAGTTTACAACTTGAATTATGAAGGCAATTTCTTATCGAAGCGACATCGAAGCCTTCCGAGGCATATATTCCAACAGCGGTCCATGTTACAATGCCATTCTTACACCCCAACTGCCTGAGTGCCCTACCACTGGCCATCGTCATTGCTTCTCTTGCTCTGATACTCCCGATTTTACTAATAACTGAACTATCGGCATCAACGACTAGGTCGGAAGATTATTCCGGCCAAGAACACGTGGTCCTTCGCCGGCCGCCTGTTCAACCAGGTATTGGGATCAGCTTGAATTACGACTATGTGTAGGTGCACGGCCCTAGGTCTTCCAATTACTTCAAGTCTAATGCAAGCCGACGTTATACAACAGAGCCGCTGGTATCTATTTTGAAAATGGCACCTCGGTTCCCGTCGCTCATATTGACGGGGACGCAGTGTATCGGAGCTTCATGCGTACCACACGTACTGGACACGGCTGTGCACCGATGAACTCAACTTCTCAAGTCTACACCACAGTAGACGAATCCGAATCCTTGGCGCGGATGCTGCGCCAGCTCAAGGCTTCAATAGCCTCTCGCCTTGACGAGCCATTCCGCTTCGTGGTCGCCAGCCGCCCCGACCACAAATGCCACACCGCTTCAGACTCTTTTGGCCAGTGGCACGCTCACCAGACAGAAGTGTTGGACTCGGCTCTCAGCAAGGTTGGCTTGTACCTGGCGCAAGACCGCATGATTCACGCTGGTTTCGCATCGGTGATTGCCAACCACATGATTGGCGGCAATGTAGAGAAAGACGGCTTTGTCATCTCTATCGATCGCGGTCACTATGGCTGGCGCTATTCTCTTCTCTATCTTGACGAGGGTTTAGGGGACCTGGGCTTCGATACTAGTTTTGTTCACGACACCGGGGAACCTAGTCCACAACGCGACGCGGCACGAGATGCCTTACGCGAGTTTTTGGAGATTGCAGAAGGTTTCGATGATGAGTTCGCGCTTGATGAAGTCATCGAGCTTGTGGTTTCAGGGGATTTAGCAAGCGACGCAGACTTCCAAGACGACCTCGTTTCGGTTCTTGGATCTGAACTGGTAACAAAAGCTCGCGTCCGTGACCCAATTCATGCTTCAGCAATAGGTGCTGCCGGAATGTGCTTCTCTAGCCTTCTCAGCCAGTGATTTGGCCCAAGGCCAGGTTTTGGCTGCTGCAAAAAGTATAAGTGGCAGGGCTGCCCAGCTCACCACAAAGTCTTTCTGGAGGATGAGCATGGTAATTAATTTGACAATGCGATTGGGGTAACTCAATAGCCAATCTTATCGACATAAAAGGCAGCTTGCATAAGCGTGGGTTCCTACATCCCTTTGCATGAAACATTATCCAGTAACGCTGAACTTAGAACTGGCTGCTCCCTGCTCTAAGCCTTAATACAACTGCAGACGTTCTTTTATGTGATAGACCCATTGAAGCTTAATCGGCTTCTATACCGGCAACTACATTCGGTGCCCAACCCCCATATTTTAAAGGAGTTATAACACTGAAGTCTGTGCTCACTCTGCTAGTTCAATGACTAAAGTGACTGATATCACGCACGGGAGGGCTTAAAATCATAATAGAATCGGGTCAAAGACATGTAAACTTATGTTTAACAGAAATTAAGTCCACGTGGATGTTATTTCAAACAGACTGATGTGGAAACGCACCTGCCCGTCGCTTAAGACTTGTTTTCTTATTTTTTTAATGTGTATCCCATGATGGGTTAGTATGCGAAACTTTCTTCTTCGAGCTGCTCAAATAAGAACGCTTCCTCATTACTGAGTCCAGTTTGATTAATCATACCTAATAGAGCAATACTGTCCCCGACAGGCCCGAACCTACCCTCGCACTGGGAGTTCTATGGGTTGACCGCAAAGCCGTCTGCGCCATAAGCCTCACCCTGCCCATTAAGCGGTACGAAGGCCAGCTGGGCGCCACAGCTCTCTCATGAATGAAAGACAACGTGTGGCAATTTAAAAAAAAAACATTGTGATATTAATGTGGTCCGTCCAGCCCGGTGGCATTTTTCAATCTGTTCCGGGACCCCTGAAACGCGCCCCTTGCTCACGTCAGGAGCTGATTGAATTAGGTTAATGCGACAAGCTTGCAAAACTGTCACTGGTTTCCAGGGGTTTGGCTTCACCTTGTTTGGTAGCTCGCATTGCATGGATGTCAGCGTTCATTTCATGCACCGACGTCTGGGCTGAGGGCTGAGAGCCCATTGGGCAAGCTTCAGCCTGATTCACTTTGCAACTGATTGTTAGCAAAAGCGGCCGCCAGTGAGAGACGACGAGTATTGTGGCAAGAGTGCGGCATGGGCCAAACAGGGGCTTCCGGTGACATCCGAAAGACCGTGGTTTTTCTGCAGTGAATGTTCGCAGGTGGTCCGTCAGCTCGTCTGCCACTCAAATCAAACAACGCCCAGGGAGTGGATATGGCGTGCCGAGATCCAGCCCCGTAATGCCTTCGTATCCTGCTCGTGTCATACTGGCTAGCCGTTACGAGAGCGTATCCTGGGGGTATTATGGACCGCCGTTGGCTCCTAAGCGATATCTTAATATAAGAACCGTTATAGCCTCCAACTTATATCTTCTGTTCTTCTCTCTCACTTCCTAATTCAGTGCTGTTCTTTCCTTACTGCACCATTCATTCTCGACGACGTTCGTATTCACTCATTTTTTCAACCACATTCATTCATTTCGCAAACATGCACGCTCGATCGATCATCACTGCCTTCAGCTTGGGCTTCCTGGCCCTGGGCGCCGAGGCTCGCTGCAAGCACTCCTCCAGGACAGCTGCCTCCGTGGTTACCTCGGCCACCGCAGTGCCATCGTCATCTGTGCCCGTCGTTTCGACCACCCTTCAAACCTCGACCCGTCCTGCAACCACCACTTCCCAGGCAGCCACCACTTCGGCTACTCTCCCCAAGCCCCAATACTTCGACCCCGTCTTTACCCCCGAGTATGGCGCCGAGTTTGCCTACGGCTCGAACTTGGAGATCACCTGGGGTTACGATGCCTACTATGAGGGCACCATTAAGATCACCCTGATTGGCGGACCTACCCAGGGAACCCAGCAGCCTCTTGGTGTCATCGCTTGTAAGTTTTGGCCACGGCATCATTTTGACTCGTTTTTGAGCTAACAGGAAAACAGCTGGCCTCGACAACAGCCTCGGCAAGTACACCTGGACCATCAACAACGATTTCGTCGGCGCCAATGCTTTCTATGGATTTTCCATTCTTTACGAGAAGGACGGCGTCACCTCCCAGTACTCGAACCCTTTCCACATCAAGCACTAGGAGGATAGTTTGAGGACTGGTGCCCAGGGATAATGTAATATCCATTATTGTTGTATTCTAGAAGGTTGGCGGGTTTCACCGGTGCATGGTTAGGCTCTCAGGTCGGCGGCTCCGGGTAGATCTGGGTGGCATTAATACTAAATCTATTTTCACCCTCTCATGGCCTTCATGGCTCACATTGGCTTCCACACATGATAATTGACTGGTTCCTGAATCACACTGTCAGGGAACTCTGGGGCGGCTGCCGGAAAGAGACTCTTGGCATGTGGCGAAGACGGTTGATGAGAGCGGGTCAAACACACTAGAGTCGGAGAATGCCTCAAAATGTGCGGCGCTGGCAGGGATCTGAGTACGAGGTGAGGTTATGAGCTCGTATTTATTAATTCTCTTGTTTGATTTGAGTGAAATGGCGGTGATGGCGTAAAAAATAATAAGACGTGAGTTAAGGTCGCTTGGAGGACAAGCAAGGATTGAAATGCTCTTTTAATTACCTTACCTAGTCAGAACTTCCTATTTCTTGACCATTCACACAATGACGCACATAAAGCATCGGACAGTGTCTTGCTATATATTGGGACTGGTAGGCGGGAAGCATACAGCAGGACCCTTTCCATTAAGGGCCAGATACTTAAGTCCGCTAAAGAACCACTTTCGGTTCAAAAGGTTCCGTATCTTCCGCAGCTAGTTCAACGGGCACTTTTCGGAACGCGTTGGGAATGTGAGGGTCAGTACTTATCCTCCAAGCCAAAAATTCCTGTTGAATGGCGTGGAGCTTTTCCTATGATTCTATGTCGCTGGAGGAAGGAGGCGGATAAACTCTTGGGTCCCTAACTTCCCCTCCTAACTACGCTAGGGAAATAGATTTCGTCTTCAGCGAAGACGCCATGCTGTTACGTGATAGTCACAAGGGACAGATGAATTGTATGTTGATAGCTTGGATTGAATTAGGCTACATTGTAGGCTTCTGATGTGATGGATCTTTCGGATCCATCTGGGTCACGTGACCTATTGGACCAATCTGTCCGATGCGTCGGACCAGTTGGTCCGACCTTTCAGTCCGTGACAGTTATATAATGCCTGAGTTCTAATAAGATCTACCTCATTAGAGGCATTTCCGAGAATAGTCGCCCTACTAAGCTTATCCGCATTAAGGATAGCACCGCTATCTCGATGGCTACTAATACGCCTGTTGTGCTATATGTGTTGAAGTTCGGTGGTATAGGGTAGGTCAAGATTCTACCTACCCTATAGCCACGTGACACGACTAGCCGTAGACTCCAGCCATAAGTAGAGTTCCTTAGTCGTAGCCTCGAGATACGCTTTTCTTCCTTGTCAATTCACTTCAATTCTCACTATCTCGTAATTCCTCGTTTAAGAATATGACAGTCCGATTTAGGTGAAGCGCTCCCTGGTGATCATACGGCCCTCGACAGATAACGGATGTGTATCATGCACAACCAAGCGATTACTGAGTTCAGCGATGAGGTCATTAATTAATAAGCTTATCCCTAATCGTATCTGCTACTTGAAATCTCCTAGTGTAAAGGCCTCCTGTTGATCCTGGCAACGTCATGTTGGGGCGGCCTTGGGGCTGGGGCCTGTCGTTGTTCGTACCTTTGGACAACGGATTCAATTCTCTGAAAACCGTGACGTCTAGCGAGGTCTAGCGCTGTCTGTCGGCCTTGAGGCATGGCCGCTCCCTTTTCAAGTAATAGCTGAACGGATTCGGCGTTACGGCCTTCCCCGTGTTGTATTGCCCAAGCCAAGGGCGTGAACCCAGACCGAGTCAAAGCATTAACGTTCGCCCCATGTTGGATTAACAATTCGATTGCTCGGGGTTTGTTGATGGCTGCTTTAAATATCGGAGAAGTGCCATCCGGATATTGAGCATGGACATTGGCTCCTTTTTTAAGAAGCAGCGAAAATGTATCAAAGTTCCCTTTCTCAATTGCGATGCAGAGAGGGCTGACGGGAAATCTTGACGGGTTGACGTTTGCATTATTGTCCAAAAGTGCCTTGGCTGAGGCTGTGCGGTTGCCGGCAGCCGCAATATGCAGTGGAGTTTGCCCCTTGGCGTTGACATTATTAGGTTTGTGGTCGTTATGTTCGAGCAAGTGACGAACAACCTTTTCGTTACACCTCTCCACTGCGAGATGGAGTATTGTCTGGCCCAGCCCGTTATCAGTAAGATGAGATCTGGCACCCCAATCCATTAATTCCATGGCTGTCGATGAATGGCCCCTTTCCACTGCCAAGAGAAGCAGCGGAGGCCGCCCGGGGAATGATAAATTGGGGTTAGCACCACAGTCACAAAGAATCTTTACTTCTTGTGCATCACCGTTCGCGACAGCCCGCACGAGCTCTTGGTTAAGCGCTGCAGGTGACATGTTGTTGAAAAACGGTCCATCTGTATGTGTCGTCAGGTTTCAAAAGTACTATAATTGCTGAGCGAGATTTACTTACTGCCATTGCTTTGACCGTAATCGTTATTGATATTACCATTGTGTTCGTTACGATCTCCGTGTTCGTGGTGGACATTTCCGTGCACGGCTCCATTATGCTGGAATGCTCTGCCATGTGCATTATTGTGGCTCCATGCTTGATGTTGTTGGCCGTGATGTTGTTGGCCGTGATGTTGTTGACCGTGATGTTGTTGACCGTGATGTTGTTGACCGTGATGTTGTTGACCGTGATGTTGTTGACCGTGATGTTGTTGACCGTGATGTTGTTGGCCGTGAGGTTGTTGACCGTGATGCGGTTGGCCGTGATGAGGCTGGCCGTGATGTTGTTGGTTATAATGTGTCATCGTGTTAAAGAAGGGCTGTCCGAGTTCTAGCGATAAAAAATGTACGTGTTATGGCTGAAGTCTCCTCCTTTGACCATCTAGTGAAGGCAGTTTGTACAAGTGATAGAAGCAGGCTTTTGAGAGGGGCCTGGCAAACTACATGAACAAAAGACAACCATGAATGCGGCTGAGCAGGTGAGTCAGACCTGGCCCCTGTAGCATGCAGCTGAATCCAGATGAGGTAATACTAATCTTAATTGATATGCCTTCTCATAGAACTATTTGCAAGGCAACTTCAGCCCCGCTGATGGTGTGTGTGGGGGGTATTGGTTTGCGAACCACGATGGCCAAGATTTTTCATATAGATAAGCGGGAATAATTCACCACCTTTTTCAACACTGGTTCCTCACCATCTAAACTATCTTTAGGATTTAGGAAACTCCCATTTCAGCGCTTTCTGCAACTTCTTCTGATCATTTGCATCATTCCCCATTGACCCGTTAAGACCAAGCGATGCGTCTACTGTACTATAATAATATAGGCCAGATAAGGCTGAGAGATTTTACAGATTCCCCGCCCCCCTATGCGATATTATCTCACAATTGGGGCCAGGAAGAGGTCACCTTCCAGGACGTAACGAACAACACTGGGACACACAAGGCGGGATATGAGAAAATCCGTTTCTGTGGGCAGCAAGCCCGACGCGACGGCCTCCAATTCTTCTGGGTCGACTCGTGCTGTATAGACAAAACAAACAACACTGAGCTCACCAGGGCTATCAATTCAATGTTTGCTTGGTATCGCCAGGCAGCCCGATGCTACGTCTATCTTTCAGATGTTCCGACACGCGCCCTTGCTGAATCCAATGGCACGGTTTGGGAGGAAGCTTTTATGGCGAGCCGGTGGTTCACCCGTGGATGGACCCTCCAAGAGCTACTTGCGCCCGAAATAGTCGAGTTTTATACCAAGGAAGGAATATGTTTGGGGACAAAGGCCTCCCTAGAGCGTGAGATCCATCGCGTCACTCGTATCTCGGTTCGGGCACTTCGAGGCTACCGACTTTCCGCCTTTGGCGTGAAGGAGAGGATGGAATGGGCGAACGGGAGGAACACAACCGAGCAGGAAGACTGGGCATATTCCCTCCTTGGTATCTTTGACGTTTCGATGCCTCTTATCTATGGAGAGGGCCGGGATAATTCAATAAGACGGCTGAAGGAGGAGATAAACAAGCGTTACAACGGCGAGGCAGCGTCCAGTAACCGTATTTACGAGAGGAATAGAACCTTTGACCAGGCGCGGGCTATCAATGGGGATGTAGGTGGCATTGCACAGGGCGATGGAAGATCTCAGGTTAAGTATAGGAGTAATGAGGCAAGTGGTACTAGTTTTCAAGTAAATGGAAGTATGGACGCAGCGTCTTTTCAAGCTTTTTTGTCTAATAGATAGTATTAGTTATATTAAGTAGAAGAACAGTTCTAAAAGCTTTTAAGATTAGGAATACTAAAAGGTTTAATAGTTAACTCATAGTAAAGGGAAGTGCAAGGTCCAAGTCCCTCCTAAACCGTTCACGATATAAGGTAGATTCAAGCTGATTTATCATTTCTACATATGTCTGGGACCACAATAGATATACCTTAGAGCATTAGTAACTAAATCATAGGCACTTGTGCGTTTTAGAGAGTTCATGGGGGTGACGCTACTAGTACAGTATAAGATACAGGCTACCTTCAGTCTGCTGTCACTAATGACTAGGCTGTGAACATTTCATCGTGCACTCTCCTGCCAGCCATTGCTCAACACATGAATGAGGTTTCGATTTTATCACAGATACATAAAGAAGCCATCAAAGTCTTGTTACTCCATGTAAAAGAAAAGTAGACGAATTCCACCAGTTCCATCAAAGTCCTGCCTATAAGCATAATCAACAGCAATGCATCCATTGGCAATATTCAAGCACCACTATCAGTCCTTATTCTTTCTTCTCAGCCGTGCTGTTCGAATTTGGCCTAACAGGAATGTCCGCTGCATGCAGATCAATTAGTAAACATTTGGAATAGAGATCAACTAGAATCTAATTTCACATACTGGTACTGCCCGTTTGCCACCTCTCGCAAATATCGATTCCTCGCTTGAGCTGCTGTAACTCCTCGTGAAGAGTGACTCTCTTCTGCCTTGTATCGATTGCCTCCTCACCAATCCACTTAACCGTTTGGTCATCGAGTCCAAAGATGCCGTCCATGGTGAAGACTTCGGGAATCTTGACCATGAGCTGGTTCTCGACTCCAAGGGTAATGATGTTTGTCACAAAGGTATTTAGTGTCATCTATTCAAAAATGGCATTGTCAGTCAAAGCACAAAAATAAATCAAGAAAGGGGATCTTTCGTACCTCATAGTATTCGACCATATTTTCAATGACGTGAGGAATTTCTGATCCGCGGATAGTACCCTGGTGCGCATTCGCAACAGCTTGAGCATAGTGCTGATCCATCAATGCTTTTGAAAGCCCCTTACTCATGACTTCCGCTTCCATGTGTTTGAAAAGTTGAACCTGTGTGTTTACCCGCTCGAAGCCTCGGCTTTTGACCTTTTCCTCAAAATCATCTTCAAGTGCGATGGCGAAACTGTGCTGATTGTCTAGTGGAACAAACTCCTTCACCTTCTCAGCAAGCACTTTTCTTTTGTCTTCAATAAAAGGAGCGATGAACATGGCATTGATCCTCTCAAAGAGAAGTTTGTCATCGTCTGTAGCGTACTGAAGAATATCACGGATGAGTGTTTCGACAACTTGTATTGTCTGATTAATGTACACCCTTGCCAGACTCTCCCAAGGCTGCGCTTCATCTTTGAAGATCTTGAGCGATAGGCCTTGATGGAAAGACCCAGGAAGTTCCATGCCTTTGAATAGATCGGCTTTTACCTTGATTTCTTCTTCCAATTGGTCTTGAGTGAGAGTCTCGGGATGTTTGGCCCCGTATTTCCTGATGATTTCTAGTTGCTCAGGAGAAAATTGAACCTTGCTCAAGTATCTGCTCACAGAACCTTCCGTTCTCCAGTCATACACATGGCGAGATCCGCACAACTGCATGACTTTGACAAACTCTTTGTTGTCTCGCCTAATCCGAGCACGCAGATTTCTCTTTAAGACACTTTCGTTATCTGGCGTGGCTGATGTCGGCTGAGCAAAGAATCGCGAATCTTCCAATTGGCCCCTGACGGCTTGACTTGCCAAGGAGGAAAATCGCTGTTGAACCCTGTTCAGATGGCTTTGAATAGCCTTGAAATCGGATCGGTCCTCAAATCTCTGGTGCTGCTCCTCCTTCGTTCTGCGTAACTCCCTGAGAGTCTCAGTGACATGTGGCAGCTTGTCGGTGACGTGCTCGATGAGCACATTGGAGAGCTTGGTCCTCAGAGCCTTGATACCCTTGTCTTGATTGTTGACCTTCTTCCACACCTTCTTGCTCAGGTCTTCCGCCTCTTTTCGGTCTCTGGCTTCAAAATCTAAAGGGTCATCTGAAGCGCGATTGCGGACGACATGCCAGCCATACTTGAGGTACATGGGCGAGCCGCGAGAGTTCCTGAGTAGGGCCTCATAGCCTGGCTCAGAGTGCTTTTGAATGAGATCAGGCTTGGTAATGATACCAAGTGTTCTTTGGCCGAAAATGTCTGCATCTCTGGCCACTCTCGTCGCATCTTGCTTGGTAGTGTCCATGTCGGCAGAGACGACCATGAGGATGATGGTGTTGTCCCGCTTGATGTACTGCTCTGCAATTTGAAGGGGCATCTCGCGGAACTTGTCGCTCTGGGTATTGCTGCGACCACCGTAAAAACCAGGCAGATCAACCAAGGTAAGGCGCAGCATGCCTGGACCAGAAGCCTCAACGCGCAGAGTGTGCTTGGAGAAGAGCTCTCCATTGTCGTCGAGGCCCATGACGCGTGTAGCTTCGGCAATGATGGGTGAAAGATCACCAAAATCCTCCTGTGTGTGACGGAAGGTCTTGATGCGCTCCTTCTCCGCCGCGCTTGCATCCTCGTGTGGTGTGATTGTCACTTCCACGAGGGGAGCATCTGCCTCGCTCAATACGAGCTGCGTGGCAAAACGCGTGCATACGTTGTGATCGGAGGGGAAACGAACACGGGAAATGGATTCAAGTACAGAACTCTTGCCAGAGGATTGGTCGCCCACGACAACAAGTTGAGGTAGGTCCACAAACTTGCCCATGTCATCTTTGGTGAGCTCATCGACAATGTCAATGAGCTCCCGATGCTTGTCCTTGAGCTTTTGGAGGTCTGGGGTGGAAAGCCCTTCGATAAAGTAAGTGGGTTCAGCAGATTCCGTCATGGTGTACTTGACTTTGGTCATGGGAGGGAGTGATGAATGAGTAGTGCGTAAGAAGTAGGATGAAATGTGGCTTCCAGGGCACACAAACGACGAGCGAGGGATTTAGAATATGAATGCAAGGGTAAATAGAAATGCGAAGGTAAAAAAAGGCGCAATGGGCGCGTGAGAAGAATCAAACGATATAAGCTGTGAATGAGGAAAACACATAGAAGAACGGCAGGGAAAAGAGACAGGGAAATGTAGACAGGGATATCAATCGATGAAGGAGAAAAGCTATGGATACTGAAGAAAGGGAACACAGTTGGGACTCAGATGCAATCAGTGAGAGCTCATCAAGGGGATTTAAACAAATGTTTCTTCACCTGAATCCTTTCTGGATGCAACTTTGTGTTGGTTGTCGCCCCTGTTGAATGTTCAGCCCCCCCACAGGCGGAGTCCTAACAGCGGATGGTCCGATTGGTTGTGACTGGGGCTTTTCTGTGTGTCTCTTATCCTTCCTAGGAACCAGATGCATGACCTAGCCATGCAGGCACTTGCACTACGGCGCAGGGGGAACGAATTTATATCCCCAGCGCTTAACAATAGTAATGGTGATGTCTGCTCACCTGACATGCATGCGTGTGGCGAAGCTTAACGGTGGTTCGTTCCAAGGCTCTGAAGCAGAAACACACTACTAAAAACTGAAACTAGAACCTGTACAAGCTCAGAGATACTCCAATCGCGAGTGCATTTTATGGCCATCGATGCGGCCAGCTGGGATCAAAGTGACTCGGACCCGGACGATCTCCCGGAGGAGTATCGCCAAGAAGCAGTGATTGATCGCTTGCGGAGATGTAGGAACACGCTTCCCCTATGATATTTTGCAACTAGGCGCTTCACCAGCCAACCCCAGTCCAGGTGTGCCTCCTACCGAATGGGCAAACTCGCTTGTTCTAAATTTACATTTTTAGACTTGAAAAAAAAGAAAAAAGAAAAAAGAGACGTCACTGTGTACTTGATCCTAATATGCGGTTGATTGACGTAAGCTGGCACAGCCCACTGGCACATCTTCATCTTTTCCACTACTACCTTACCTTTTGAGCCTACCTTCCCCCACGCCCTAATCGATCACCCTCCCTGAGCAAATATATATTAAAATGATCGTCTCTCGACGGGGATAATGTATTTAGCTTAGTAATAAAGAAAAAGGGTTAAAAATTAAAGAAAAAGAATAATAAATATATAATACTATTAGTTATAGTTCTTTATATTAATTTTATTCGCCCAAGTAAGAGTTAGCTATCCGTCAACAAATAATTATCTATCCACTATATTATTTCATAATTATATAACTTTCTGAAGCTCAGCGTATTATACATATATACCTTATAACCAGGGGGTATAGTCATAGTCATAAGAGTAGTCAAATAGAAAGTGCGCGGCTGAATCCCCGTATAGATGGCACGGATGAATCCTCCTTATTCTTGCACTTACTTGGAAGCAAACCTTGCCCCGACCTTTCACGATAAGCCACCACTGACCCTCAGCCTCGACCTTTCCATACTGCTGCTTCTCCGTGTCGCAGTTCTCTTGATCTACCTAATCCCGTGTTGGTTGCCACCTGTACCAATCAACACTGGGCATTACGCGCTCCGTCCCACTTTACAAAGCAGAGCCTCACCAGTGCCTCCAAACTGAATCTGCACTTGACCTCGTACACAGCTACATATCGCTCTTATTTCGTCACATATTCAGCACTTCTTAACCAGTTCTCGGGGCAGCTACCCATAACATGTTCTTGAGAAGGGTCTTCATATTTGGTCCCAGAAATCGCTCGCTTCGCAATTCAGCAGCGCCCCGATTTCAATCTATGATGACGACGCGTTCAGCTTCTGGAGCCTCCAGGCACCCGCCCTCGAGATCGTCCACAGGGCCGCCCTTGGCATCGACCTCCTTACCACCGAGTGCACGCGAGTTTCCTTCTGAGGGCTTCCAGGTTATCGACCCAGATGACAAGGTCGAAGAAGAACGGTTGTCATTCTATCAGAGACAGAATTATTATCCTATGCGCATTGGCCAGATCATTCACGATCAGTTTCAAGTCGTCGCCAAGCTTGGTTTTGGTACCACTTCTACCGTCTGGTTGTCTCGTGATCTGATGTAGGTTCATTCCCTCTCCCTCTCCTTCTTTTAGTTGCCATCGCAATTGACTGGTGTGATATTCTTTAGCACTCAAGAGTACTGGGTTCTCAAGGTGTACATTAACTCGCTCCAAAATATCCAGGAGCTTAAGGTCTACCGGCATCTAGATGGCTTTATACCTGATAAGAATACAATTGGAAAACCATTCGTCCGACAACTACAGGCTTGCTTTAGTCTCAAAGGCCCATATGGCGATCACCAAGTTCTCGTTATGAAGCCCCTGGGTATGAGCCTGAGAACCTTACAAGAATTCTACATCCGAAAAGATAAGATGTTTGAAGAAAATCTCGTTACTGGCGCCTTAGACCAAGTATTGCTTGGTTTAGACTACTTACACGAGGCAAAAGTGGTCCATACAGGTAGGATAGCTCCAGCTCCAAGCACCCTACGCCTGACCATTTATTAACCTACCATAGACCTTCATTCAGATAACTTACTGATTGATATCACTGATACCTCGATTCTAGCCAATATCGAAGAACAAGAAGTTGCCGAGCCATCAGCGCGTAAGCGTGACATAGATCGCTACATCTATGTCTCTCGATATATGCTAGCAGGAGCTGGATCCTTGATTATTTCAGATCTGGGCCAAGCACATATTGGAGAAGAGCATCACGGCAAATCAATGCCTATCCCTTATCGAGCGCCCGAGGTTATCCTTGGTATGCCATGGGGTAATAAAGTGGATTCTTGGTGCGTTGCACTATTGGTGAGTTCCTACGTTGAAATTTCATACTTCTTTTACTAAGTTCGTTTGACTAATTTGCAAAAATACTTCGTCTTTGAAGACCTGGGATCTTCTTGAACGAAAGAGCCTCTTTACGGTCTATGATGCAAATTCTGAGGAGCAAAATGATGCACATCATCTGGCTGCAATGACGGCCTTACTTGGGCCGCCGCCGCCAGAGTTTCTCCAAATGAGCAAGGAAACAAGCAAGTACTGGGACCAAAAGGGTAATAATCTTACTAGTAGAGCTTTCAAGACATGTGACGTTCTTCGGACCAGCTGGCTAATCTTACAATAGGCGAATGGTGTGGTCCCGTTCTATTGCCCCCCAAAACAACCCTCAACACACTTGCTGGAACCTTAAAAGGCAAAAACAAAGAAAGTTTCATCGATTTTGTAGAGTGCTTTCTCTGCTGGCTTCCTGAGGATCGACTAAAGGCTCATCAAGGTTATTTCCACCCTTGGCTCCGAGAGAAGAACGACGGAAGTAATACTATGGAAGGATCCTAGCATGTTCGGCGTACGATGTATGCTACTTCAAGTAATATCATGATCCTAATCAACAAAATTTACAGGAGCATTGTCCTTGCTTAGTTCAATGGAGTCGAGCTCAATGCTTTGTCTGGGATCATATCTTGCTCAGGTGATAAATTCACCAGTCAGTTGCAACAAGGTAAAAGGCACGAGAAAGGATTCTTCATTGTCTACTTTAGCATCTTTGATCGTAATCCTATAATTGGTGCTTATATTTTACTGAATGCTGCCTTAAGGCATCAAGATCCACACGGTCAAATTATAGATAAACATAACATTAGACCATATGTTGACTGGGTGTAATCTGCATTTGGGTCTTGCTTCTTCTTCCTTTCACTTGTGAACGCACCGCATGAACCGACCAGAATTCTGATGATTCATAGCATGTTAACGGCGTTTAACTACAAGTTTACGGAAGACCCGGGAAATCTGGCCTAGAAGCTAATTAAAGAGGCAAAATGATTGTTCCACTCTAATATGAAAGGCGAACGATAGCACTAAGGGCCAGCAAAGTGCCAGTATTAAAAGCTCCTCATCTCCTATGCCACCCCCAAGGGCTCATTTAGGTAAAAAGATAGAAAGATTATAGTTATATGAAGATTAAATCAGCACAGTCCTTCCATCAATCAGTCTCGCTATGTTTCTGTTGCAGACGTTAAAGATTGTGAGCTGTCTTCGTCAGGCAGAAACAACTCACTCCATTCCTATCTGTGACAAGGCGTTTCCTAAAAGCGCCAGCCTCATCTTACTCACTGGGCAAATGAGTGGCCCCGCGTCATGCGCATGTTCGTACTTCAGGCCAGCTTGGCATCGTCATGCTTCTCCCCCGTGCTGATGGTGGGCCGTACTTGGTACTTTGCGTACAATACTTCCGTCATCGGCGCTTCCTTCCGCCCATTGATAAACCGTTTCAAAGCCCAGGGAGATTGCAAGGGGACCGATGGACTACTCGTTCCGTTAATCCCGTTACGCATAGAGTCCACAGACCCAGCGTTACAAAGTACGGAGCGGTCATCAGTGGGAGACATCTTGACAGCTGTGGTCCTGGGTAAAGACGATCCTTCTATCGTTCGATCTAGACAAGGGGCGTTCCTAGCACACAACGAGGACAGAGTTAAACAGGTTGGCTGTGGGTGGAACTGGACTGAGAGCGTCGCTTCTAAACTTTTAGCATGTAGCTGTGACAAGGCCTGAACCTGACATGGCAGTTAGCAGCTGTGTGATAGTGTAGATGTTCCACCACATACCAGATATTTGACCTAAAATTTCATAACCTTCCGTATTTGAATCGGCAGTGAAAAAATGTTTTTACTTTGTGAATAAATGTCTTATTGTGGTGGCTATCAGGATTTCTAGGATTATTTCTTGACTCTTCATCTGGAGGAGAGATGAAGAAGTTACAGCGCATAACCGTCCTCGTTGTCGTCCATGCCCATCAACTTCATCTGCTTAGTGGTATCTCCATGAACATCCCCGGTGTTGAATGCTGCCTTCTTCCCGGTGGCCATTCGAACATCTTCACCGGTCGAGATAGTTAAACTCACGCCATGACCGTGGAAGTAGATAAGGACAAGGTGAGACAGTTACACCACTAATTATGAGGCAGTCACTCTGGAAAGTCACACATGAGTGACGTAGATGGCTGCATCCCTGCGTAGCTGAGTGCTTGTGCCAAAAGCTGAAATCTAAAACAGCGGTACACCCGCTAATACAGCGAAGCCGCTGACATGAAACATGGCACAATTCATTGTGTTGAGTTGTCGGGCTCTGGCAGCTTCCATTGATGTTAAACTTTATTCTCTTTCTCTTAGGTATAAAACATGGCACACAAAATCCTTTTCACTTAGGGCAGGGACCTGATTCTCTTTTTGATAATACTTAACACAATGATAAGGGAGTAATAAATTATTCTATAATACTTGGTTTAATATTGTGTTTATAAGCAGGTTGGTTGTTTTAATATTATGTCGGCATTCAATGCTAGGCACCGACATTATAACCTGGGAGGTTGACCTTGAGCTAACTCACTTTCATACTTGAAAATCGTTCATTATTTTGCCTTAAGACTTCGCGGAGTAAAAAATGCTTCACATTGTCGTTTTCGTGAGGCTATAGGTGCTAGAATTGAGCTATGTCTTTCGAGACACATCCTTGCAACGCGGTTGAGTCAATCTAAGCTACATCTTTGGATTCACACCAATAACTACAGACAATGGCATGAAATCCTCCTGTAACAAGCTCCACTGGAAGCTGTACTGGGAGAATGTGCCGTTAAGGGGTTAAGGGGTTAAGGTTTCCTTGGAGCCCTGATGATTACAACTCGGCCCTCGCCGACCAAGGACCAGAGTATCGCAGGACACCGACCTGGACCTCATGTGGTGGGGGCCCATCCTCAGACACAGCCCTCACATCATCTAGTTTTCCATAACCCAAAGAGGTGTATAGCTTCTCTCCCATGTCCGCCGCAATGACACCCTGATTAACCCTATCCACGTCTGCCAGGGCCTTGCCCCATTTTACAAGAGATGTTCCATGGCCCCGCCTCCAATACGCAGGATGGACCACGACCATGTCCACAAGTTGGTGGCCTTCGAAGTACCTAGATGGGAAGTCAGAGGGGATTTCGGGGAGTCCGCTAGTGAGCACTTACTTCTCCTCGGCCGCGTCGCACTTCTCATCGAGCATATCGGCATGGAAAGGGCTCTTGTCTCTTCCAAGGCCACCATTAAAGCCATGGGCTCCAGTAGAGGAATCCTCTGGAGCGATGAATTGAGCTCGTCGAGCGGAATCCGGCTGCAGCTTCCAGGTTGCCGCACCTACAATAACACGGTCTCCGGCTTTTGGAGCTTTGGAGCGGAAATTTTCTCATCAGGCTTGATGGTGGCTTCAGTCTTTTCTGCCTCGGCTGGGTCGTACGAATCTTCAACGACTAATGTAGCATAGTCTGGGCTGATGATTGTATCGGCGAACATCTTCTCGTAGGATTGAAAGGTATCCGTGGGAAAGTCCCGATGAAAACGGCTCTCCCAGGGGAAAACAGGAGAATAGTAAAAACCCGCCGTGGCAACAGTTGCAATCCTAGGCACATCGCGAAGTCTGGCCAGGCGGAGGGCGCTAAAAGCTGGTGCAATGGGAAAACTCATATTGGACAAACAATGAGATCTGAATACTTAGGAGATCAAAGAAGCAGCAGAGCTTCAGAAACCTTTCGATGGTAGGGTTTAATTGACCGTTGGCGAAGGATAATGCGTGATGCTATTGATGAAGGGGTGAAACAGAACACCGAATCACAACCAAAGTCGAAAGTGCAGGCAGGGTTTATTATGAGGGTCGCACCTACCCGAGCGCCTGACAACTTTTGAACACAGCGTCACCGTGGTGCTGGCGAAGTAATCGATCAACCGGATTTCGGCAACTCGTCGCACAGGCGAGACCGCTAATTGCATTGAGAGGCATAGAATACCTGCACTATTGTGGTGGTAAAGGTAGTACACATGTTCGCGAACCAACAGTGCCAGGTCACCTAGACCAGAAGTGAGCTTATTGCAATTTACCAAAGGTTGGGTAAGCCCATATACGTGTATATGGTTTGTTCTACTTCTATATAACACAGGGACCTTCCTTGCTCCAATATAGTTCAAATAGCACAATCAGCGACATCTATATCCACTCGGTAGGAACAAGATATTCACTGCAGACTCGCCAATATTGCCATCTGGTTTTCCAGATCAACTACATGGGCCGGCTGTTTGGTCTAAGCACGTCGACGAGCAAGACTACGTCCGCCAGCTGACTGAGTCAGACCTCGACTCAATTGAATTCGCTCTTCGACATTTTCAAGGTATCTCCCTGCTTTTCTTCTTCTTGATTGAGGCACTATCCTAGGAAGACTTTATGACGTGACTACCTTACTAACAAATCTAGGTCTGGGTATCAGCCCCCATAAGTTAGATCAGCAACACTTCCCCCTGCCCCCCTAGTGTCCTCTAAGCTTCAGTATTTGAGTCACGATGTCCACCGTGGACGGGGCTTTTCTGTCCTCAGAGGTTTGGACTCCAAAAAGTACACTGAAGAGGAAAATATTATCATTTATGGTGAAGTTGCCAGTTACGTGGGAAGAGATCGAGCAGATATGAGTAAGTCTTCATGATACTCCAACTGATCCACAATTTAACTAACTAATCTAGTATGGCTATACGATCGCGCAGACGGAAGTCAGACCCCGGAAAACCAGGCAAGATTCCCACCCAAGGAGCTCACAAGCTCCATGGTATGGCTACATCTCCAGGATCCCCAAGTGGCTTGATGAAAAACTAAGAGGCATCAGGACTTCAATACCGATGTCGATGCAGGAGATATTCTCTCTCTCTTTATAATGAGCCTAAGCCAGACTGGCGGTCAACAGTACCGGACGAGCTTTTGGTCAGTATACAATGACTTGGCGCAGAACAATCCAGAGGTCCTTCAAGTGCTGGCCAGCGATTGGAGATATGAGATGAAGAAACAGTAAAGAATGAATCACACTGCTGTCAAAAATTTGAGATTCTGACCATGTGGTGTAGGCAAGGCGTGCAAGTGATCCATCGTCCTGTCATTTGCTGCGTCGACAACAAAGTTCAGATCAACTTTGCTACCGCCTTTCTTAAAGGCTCTGGTTATATTCCGCGGCAGACTGACAGCCCTGGCCTCACAGTGCAACAAGAAGATGCTATCAAAACACTTCTTCGGACGTGTCGCAAGCACAGCATGGGTATAAGCCAGGCTTCTGGTGACATGCTTTTCGTAAATAACCTCTGCATTCTTCACGCACCGGACAGTTTTGTAAACGATGGAGCATCTGGAAAGATTCGTCGGCTAATGAGCCTCATGCTTCGAGACCCCGAGCTGGCCTGGCGAAAGCCAACCGCTACAGCTATTGAGATGGGCAAAAAGTTTGCAAAACTAGACGTGCCACAGTTTATGGGAACAGTGGAGCATTATGAAGGCTTCCGCGCCAAGTTTGCAATGCTTCGTCATGACTAAGAACTTAGTTTGTCCCATTTTAACAGTTCATGTTCGATTCTGTCATGTCCGATTCTGTGCATAGACACCAAACGCTGCTTACTACATGTGTGATGGAATACTTTTGCACTCGGCAACAAATCTCACAATGTCTACGAACGATGGCTTGGACGAATTATTTGCACGTTGTAGGTTAATTTCCTTTCTTCGAGCAGCCGTAGCTCAGAAATATACTCGATTCATCAGTTGATGGAGCCACCATTTCCTTCTCTGCTTGAATTGCTACCGATGGGCTGTTGCTACACTTCTACTAAGTCATCAAAGGCTCGATTCTCATGATAAATACATTTACTGGTCCAACCCAATATGGAAGGAAAGCAATCTCTGCCCTTTGATTTACAGAACCATTTAGGTCCTGCAAGAGGTGGAACCAATATCATCTTTCTTCTTACCTATTATCCTTATGAATGGCTGCACTGATAAAAGATCATGCTCGGAGCGAAACTCACATTCAGCTCGATTTAAGAAGCTCTCTATGAATGGTGTTGACGCGGACGACCTGGAACAACGGGCCGTGCAAGGTCCCCTGTGCATAGCTTGACCTCCGGATATGTTACGGCATATCCCTCGGATATTGCTCGTTCCGGACCCAAATCGAGAAATGGCCATTTGAGACTCAATTTCCAACATGGCCCTCATCCTCCCGCAGCTACATTAGGCTATATGCTAAAAATCCCATGTTTATTCGCAAAGTCCAATCCCCCACATTGATGCAAGAGGAACCTATAGGCTATAGGTGCTACCCAAGCGTCAATATTTCCCATCTCGTACCCTTACGCCTAGGGAGACCTCCCGGATCTGCGGGCGGTCTACCGCAATTAGAACGCATCTACTCACGACATTTCTCAGCCAAAGGACCTGTATTGACTTCCAAGATGGGGAAGGAATAGATCCTCCGATTCCATTAAGTGAATCGGCAATTCTATGAAGCTCAAATCCTAAGAAGGTTAGGAGAGGAAGAAGCAGTGTTATAAAGCCGCTCTACCATACGTATTTGCCACGAGTCTATTTTCTGCTGAAGGACGATTCTATAAGCAAAGTCTTCAGTTTTCTACTTTCACAATGTTCAGTGTGATTGGCTCTACCGCTCTCTTGGCCCTCGCGGGTCTATCCTCATTTACCAACGGCCAGGTATCCGATGACTTCGAAAACGGATGGGACCAAACAAAATGGAAGACATATGCACCTGATTGCAACCAAGGCGGTAGCATTAGCCTTGACACGTCTACTTCTCACGGGGGGAGCGCTTCCATGAAAGTTGTTGGAGCAGGTGGATATTGTGGCCATATATTCTTTGGAACTACTGCTATACCAAGCGGAGATGTTTACGTCAGAGCCTGGGTGTAAGCTTTCTCTCCGTGTCCGAGTATTCGTCATTATTGTGTTAATAAGTTTCCATCCGTGTATAGTAAACCATCTACGGCTCTCACCGCATCCCATGTCACTTTCATCACCATGCCAGACTCAGGCCTAGGAACAAACAAGCACCTTCGAATTGGCGGCCAAAGCCAGATTCTCATGTACAATCGTGAGACTGACGACGCCACGCTTCCAGACTTGTCGCCCAACGGCATCGCGGCTTCGGTAGCTCTTAAAGCCGGTCAATTTCAATGCCTTGAGTACCATCTAGGCACAGACGGCACCATCGAGACCTGGCTGGACGGCACCTCGATCAGTGGTCTCCAGGCTGGGCCAAATGCCAGTAACCCGTACAGCGCCCAGTGGGGGAATGGCAGTTACAAGCCAAGTATAACAGGCATCTACTTCGGCTGGGAGTCATATGGTGGCGACACCAACACCTTCTGGTACGACGATATTTCTATCGGCTCAAGCCGTGTCGGTTGCGGTGCCAGTCAAGTATCATCTACTACTACTCGAACAACGTTGTCTACCTCAACTACTGGAATCACCTCTGTACCATCTACGACGACAACGAAAACCAGCGCCGCTCCCACATCTACTTCTGCGGCTCAAGTGTAAGTTAATATCTTTCCAAATTACTCCAATCAGAACAAAATTAAGTGCCTTTGAACAATAGGAAATATGGACAATGTGGCGGAACCGGTTGGACCGGACCTACCACTTGCGTGAGTGGTTCGACATGCACGTATGTGAACGACTGGTATTCACAGTGCCTTTGACAGGTTCAAATATGTCCATAAAGCAAAAGTCCAAAGCTACCAAAATATGGCAATGAGTGATTATGCGGCATCTCACCAAATAGGGCCATAGGCAACGCAATAGTTCAAGCGAGTCTTTTAATCTTGCGTGACAGAGAAGTGTTTTGGTGACTTCAGCCGTAGCCGTGAATGATAGCCCTCGTCCTGCTGCACTCGATGGATTTGATTTCTCACGATCGTGTTTCTTGGGTTTAGTGAGCGTTTTCATGCGATGGTTGAGCCGAAAGCGCATCTTTGTGGTAGGATAAATCAAGAAAACATATCTTTCTCGCAGCCTATTAATCTGTTGATAGTTATTCTGTGACGATGTCCAGTTATCATTTACAATCAGATACCGGGAGTTGCCCTATCATCGATAGATGCATGCCGCCAGTGTCAGCCGGGTGCCAATAGCGTTATAAGGTCTACTAATAGTTCTAGTAACGCTTTTGAAACCCCCAAGGGACACACATGCCAATCCTAAGTATTCCAGTGTTAAGTATGGCAACATTAAGGTACTCAAGGTGGCTTGCACACGAAGTAAAGTTGATGAATATAGTATAGTCCAATATATCTCGCTTCTATACTGTAATAGATCCAGGTCGGTAACACTAGGCCTCTAATAGTTCTACTGTAGTTCTAACATATGCTGTATCACGGATGCCTATAATGAGCTTGCTGAACTTTAAAGCCAGGAGTTTAGGTAGTGTATAATCTTAAAACTAATGCCTTAAGTTAACATTTTCACAATTACCGACTTTCTATTCAATTTAACGTCAGTTATTGGCTGAGAAAAAGTCTCGCAAGACATATTCCGTCCTATAATAATAAATAAGCGCCCATACGCGGATCATAAGTGCCAAAATGCACCCGAACCTCAGGCGTCACAATGAGCCCAGCGTCGGCGCTATGAGCCAGCTGTCACAAAGAACATGGGCAATTATTTTTTACTGTGCACGTAAGTCCCGATTTCCAATGGTCTTACTGGCGGAAGCCAAGGTTCCGGGCATGAGGTAAACTTTTTCTGTTTCAATCCAGGGCAAAACACCGCTCACTACTTGCCTCCTCGTTCCCCCACCAATGCGGCATGTTGATAATCTTACCCGCACCAAAGAACAAGAAGATTAGTAGCATATTGAAGTTGAAGCCGGCGTCAAAAGCTGCAGCCAGGATATAATTCCACTTCGCCCACATCTCGTAGCGGTAGCGGTAGGCCCAGAACATGACCACGAAACCGCCTACAAAACTACTAAAGTAGCCAGTACTGATGTTCCCGTAGAATGTAGACATGGCGGAAAAGTAGATGGTCGTGTTCCAAAGACGGAACTTAGCCTGTGGGAAGTATCGGTTCAAGATAAAAAAGATGACCGGGGCCACGGCTCCGACGAGGAAGCCGTAAGGGATGATTTTGTAGATGTGTGTTTGAAATAGGCGGCGGGGTCCCTGTTGAACATGTTGCGTAAGAAACTTGGATAATGAAAAGTTGAGGAGAAATATAGATGACCATAACTTACGATAAGCACATACTGGACGCTCATTGTCAAGTTGGAGGCCAAGCTCTGTGCCGTCCATTGATGAGTAGGATCCTCCTTCTCGCCCGTCAGGTAGTCAAACTTCGTGTCGAGTACCCATCTTATCACAGCGTAATTAATCGGGATACCTAGAAAGGATCCAAACACCTGCGAGAAAAATACTGCCTTGGGAGGGATATGCATATAATGCCCTATCTTCATATCCTGAAGATTCAGCTGTGCTCTGTACCAAGCATTGCCGGCAATACTGCCGTAGACGGAAGCGCCTGTTGGGTTCTTGTGTCCATTTACGGCGTTAACCATCAAGCCATAAAGCAGCTCGTTGGTGGTGCCGATCGGTAGCTGGAAATTTGATAGTGCGTACAACCAGCCGAGAGGAACGACAAGCACAGCTCCCGTGCCAACGGCTACAAAATATGTCCAGATAGGGATATAAAGGTTCCCCGTAGCAACAATTGTGACCAGCGCAATAAATGACACACCAAATAGAATGGCAAACCACAGGAAGGGAACTTCCTCATAGGAACGCTGTAGGATGCTGAGCTGATCGTCGTACTGCTCGCTGATTTTCGCTCCCTTCCTCGTGGCTCTCTCATGAAACTTAGATAAACTACTGCGGATCTGCTTGTAGCCAAAGATTGCCATCCAGGAGATCGCAGATGTGTAAGACATAGACCAGAGGACGTGGGTACTAACGTACGGCACACCAATCTCGGCGTATGCGGTCTCATTAAATGTAGCTTCGGAAGTGAGAACATCATTTATCGGATAGGTCGTTCCATTCTCTGTTTTATCATTAGGCCCATGAAGACGGCTAGGTTATTCATGAAACATGGGACTCGCCAAGGAATAAACGGTTTGACATCAGCTTGTGATGCCACTGCCCCAGCCCCCCAAACTTTGCCGCAGGTAATAGGATCCAGCAGCTGGTGGCAAAACCAAAGAACATAACAACCTGCGTCCACCAAGGCGTGAGGAATAAGCTGGTAGTGCCATTGAGATTTGATATGCTCGACCAGTCCAATGAAAGATTGAGGAATCCCATCCCGCCAAAGCCTCCCCCAATAAAATTCGCAACGGCGTTGTTCGGAGCAACCCAACAAAGAAATGCGAGTGAGCCAAGCATCGGAAATACGAACTCGGGAAGAAACTGCCATAATGTCATACCAAGTAAAGCAATGAAAAAGACTTTCGTTTGGCGGCGAGATAAGGTAGTTGGATTTTGGCGTTGTTTCTTCTGTGTCTCAAAGAGAGCAGTCTGGCACAATCTGCAGGAAGGGTTGTCGTCAGCTTCTTCCGAATGAACAGTGTAAGAGGACTAAGGGATGGAGAAGTATAATCCGCTTACGATGTGAACCAAGGGTATTGAGGATCATAGATTAAAAATTGCCTGCCGATAGCCGCAAAGCTATATCCTGTCCAAACAATCCCCCACATGAAGAATATGGCAACAGCTGGGTGTACTCTCTGACCAAAGTACAGTTCAGCCATTGATATGGGGGCATATCCGAGGTTATAGGTGGCGCCTGAAGCCGCCGATATTGTTATGAGGACATGCTCTTTGACACTGAATGGTCCTGGGTTCAAATTGAAACTCCAAGGAGTAAATGGAACCTTGACATTCCATGCAGGGAGAATTTGGTGTAACCAAACCCCAGCATAGCTCGATGCGATTTGCACAAAGAAGACTGAGTATGGGGCGTAGGTGGTGCGATAGTGGCTCATCATACTGAGAAATGCCCCGGGTATCACGAACAGTATGGTAAGTACGAAGTAACGGAAGGTCAGAGTAGGCAGCTCTGGATCGTCTGAGAAACTGACCACCCGGCGAACGTAAGCGGGTATGTCCTTAAGCCGAGGATCGTCACTGTCCAAGGCCTCTTCTGACCCACCGGAAGCTTGCGAAGTGAAAAGGAAGGGCGGTTTCTCAATATCATCTTCTTGGGGCTCGTGATTGATTGGCTGTGGCAAGTCATCACCAGAAGACTTCGGTGCGTCCACACCGGTGGAGGTATTGCCGCTTTTTTCATTTGTTAACGCCATTTCTCACACAAGGACGGTCTTTATCGTAGACGTACGTGATGTACTGGCTCTCAACGAGCGGGTTTCGGGCATAATATGTATGGTGTGTAGGTCAGGATAACCCCAACCTCGGACGGGGGTCTGCTCGATGTGAGAACGGCATTGGCGAGACAAGGAATCGCGTTATCGTGAAACCGACCATTGGGGTCGGTTGTCGCAATCTAGATTTCTCCCAGCGATGGAACAAATGCTACAACGAGAAGTAGCATCCAACGATATCCGAAGAACGTGATACAGGAAGTCCCACTGCTCGGATATTCGGCAGATCTAGGTCTCTTTGACAACCCGATAGAGAAGCCAAGACCAGGGATTTAAATGTGACGATGAAATTCTTGTCCATAAACGGCAAGATGTACACACCGGATCGATTGCACCATCGCCAAAAGTTCCGCGCCCAGTCTAATTGACTCTTTAAACAACTGAACAGAGAAAATTTCAGGGAAAATTCTTCTTGAGGATCAGCCCACCCAGGCGTGCCATTGAAAGAACCCGTGACGAACACAATCCTGTGTCTAAGGTTGGGCTGATATTTCCAAATGGCCCCTGGGTTACATTACGCAGACTTTGGATGCCGATTTTGCCGGCATGTAACATTACCGGGAAGTGGGAGACGGCGAGAGCTTGGAAGTTTCTCCGCGTCGTTACCAAACTGGTTCCATTGTGGCCACCTTAGCTACGATTTGTGGACGAGCAAATGAGAAGATGGCAAAGGGGGTGCTGATGATCGCATGTATGCTGCCAATAGACCCTATTTTCATCCGAGCCGCATTAGACAATAACAGCATTGTTCAAGCATGCTCCAACAATATCAGGGTCCTCAGGTCCATGCCTAAAATCTTATTGGCCCTCATTAACTTTTACCTCGACATGTAAGGAGATGTTGAGGACTATAGAGACTTCAGGCATACCATGGCCAGAAGAGAAGGGCTCTGCAATCTGTGCCATGTATGGTAGGTATTCTGGAGAGGGTTTGTTCCATATTGTAAGAAGGCATTGATTTCCCTAACACACACGGGGAGTTTTCCGCCAGTCAAGGCTGAATAACGTGTTTGCCAGTTCGGTATAGTGGTCCTGAGTGTGATGCTGCTGTCTATGACATTGCCGATTTTGCTAGTCCCTCTCCCGTAGCCCTTATCCATTGAACAAGCCATTGAGGCAGTTGTAATTTTGTCACTAGCAAAATTGTATCGCAGTAAGTCATCATTACCCGTTAACGAGCTCCAAGTACTCATAGTGTAAACCAGTAGAAAGCACCAGCAGGTGGCCCAATGGGTCGTCATTTCCCCCTAGACGTTGTTATTAATAGCTGGTGGCTGTGAGATACATTCCAATGAGTTGAGGTAATAGCAAGATCTCGGCATTGCCCAACTGCTGCTCGAGGCCACAAATGATATCCGCTCTTCACCTCAAAGAATGTACAGATATAGGAATCTGTTGTTCAAAATTTGTCCAATTGATTCTATCGAACTAAGAGAAATATGCCATTTATCCCGGTTGCAATCCACTGGAGAGCGAAAATAGGACATCCGCTTCTACATGTACTCTACGCTTCCATGCCTACATGACAGAACGCAGAAGCCAGAACACCTCTGATAACGTATTGATAATGAACTGGAATCTAAATAAAAAGTTAGTGTAGCCCGGACCATACTTGAAGGAACTAGGTTCGAAGGGCGTTTGCCAACAGGCCAATGGCGGTTGACATCTGTCTGCGGAGGCGTCTGAATTCAAACCTTACATCTCACCGAATTTTCCGATATCCTTCAGCCAGACGGCTCTTCACTTCGCCCCCAACTCTCTTTTTATCTTAAATCGACATACAGCTAATCTCACGATGAAGAATTCCGGCCAGGCTCCAGAAAAGGCTGACCCCCTCCATGTCTCAGGCCCCTCGCAGCAGTACGTGTACGATCCTTCACGGCAGCAGTACGTACACGATCCCTCGTTGCAGCAACAGGTATACGACTCCTCGCAACCGTCTCCATATGATTCCTCGCAGCCGTACATACACTATCCGTCGCAGCTACATCTGCTAGATCCATTGCAACAGCACCCTGCTCCCGCCTACAGCGCCGAGAACCCGCATCACCCCTCGGGGCAGGGATACAATGGCTTCCTCGGTCCATATCCGTCGAGGGCGGGGGCGGTTCCTCTCGCCGACAAGCCGTCGCATGGCTTTGATGGGATCCAACAGGGCCAACACCCTGTGCAAACAGCCAGGACAGGCGCCGCGGCCGCGAAAAAGCGAGGGAACCGTGGGCTCTTGGCCAACCCGCGCAGGTGGTCACTTAAGAAAAAGTTGTTCGTGGCCGCGTTGGTTATTGTGGTACTTGTTCTCGTCATCGCCGTCCCTGCTGGCGTCCTGCTGAACAGAAAGCGCAAATGCAAATGCCCGGGCTGGTTCGACCGCAAGAATAACTACTTTCCGGCGACATATTATCCGTGTGATGGAAAAGGAAGGGACCTGAACACGAACAGGATGCCTTCATGTAACTGGGAATTTACTGGCTATTATTGAGCCGCCCGGATGTTCGGCTCTGAGTGTAGCACCATTTGGGACCGGACCAGGACTCTGAGGCTGAGCGGTAAGATTGGATCCGCTTTGAGCACTACGAGACTCTCCAGTAGGCGTCCAGGACGAGTAATGGGAAGTGATGGTGGTATGAATAGCACATGGCAATGGTATTCCCTCCCGCGCTCTCGTCGATACGTCAAGCCATATCATGGCTCATAAGCGCGCAAGAACCTGTCCTCTCAGATCTGATTAAATGAGGGAGATGAACGACGAGGGAGATGTATCATCCGAGCCTGGGAAGTATAATACGATTAATAATGCAGCACAGCCATCGCAGCAGTGTTACTGCATACGGGAACCTGGATGAGGCGCAGGCTTAATTTAACCCACAGATAGTTTAATTTGCTCATGCTAGGCTTTCTTGTCTGGTATCGATGAAAGAAAAGGAGAAAATATTTCTGTGCATGATCCCTGGATGGACAGTTTTCCATGGTTGCGTACACAAATGTTCGGCATTTCTCTACCATCGTGAGATATTACAGCAATGAGGCTGCTCCAGTTACATCCCCAGATACGCGCAGCAGCAAGATGGAAAAACTCGCACACCAGAACAATTTCCACCGCCATCCACCAGCCCGATCGTGTTCCGTGGAATACTCTAGTGTCCAACTTGCAGTATGACCCCCAGATCGCGTGTAAAAATGGGAGAGCAAACCTCAAGTTTCGCTTTCAGCACAACCAGGGTGAATCGCTCAACTACTTTGTCGATTCCTTGATCCGGGCCATCAATGAGCAGGCAGACGAACTGCGCCGTACGTTTCCGGAAAACTATGAAATTCCATCATCCGATGATGTAGTAATTAGCGATGAAGTGACCATGAGAATCCTACCTCTCGTCCATACCTGGCGTTCGCATTGCTGGAACGGAATTTCGGATAAGCACGAAATGGGAATCACGAACGATACCATCGATTCCGAGTTGTGTTCGCATGCAGAGCACGACAAGGATTGCAAATGCGCATTCCCTCTGGGGGAGAGGAAGATGGCAGCGTTCCTCAGACAATACGAGGAAAATGATTGTTATTGCTTCATGCAAGTAAACGGCGCGGCCTTTTTCAACCTCGAGATCACCAAGACTCTTCTGATACAGGGAGAAATCGACACCATTTTGAAAATCTTTTCACATCCAGATGTTGACTATTCTGAATGGTGGAACCAGGCAGAATGCCATTGCAATGCATGCGATTTCAACATTGGCTTGGATCAAATGTATGTCATGGCTTTGAGATCATATATTACTCTCAATGCACTGCTTCATTTCCCCCAGCTGTGGAACCATGGATCATCCCATTTAGCAGATACCAATGACTATCGGCAACTTTTCTCCTACCAAAAGATGCTAAGGGAAGCCACGAAAACAAACCCGACGACAGAGGTGGCTACATATCCGCACAGGCAATTCTTTGGTATTACACAGCCCCAGTTCAATGATTTAACCAAGCTGAGAGAGCCAAGAGAATGGGAGATATCCGCGAAGTCTGACACGCCCCTAATGCTAGAAGTAGTTGGAGTACCTCGTCGACTGGTTGTGCCCCATAATCCCTTGAATCCTAAGAACTTGTACGAGCTGCAGATGTACCTTGAGTATTGCTGGGGTCTGGTTCTGAGATGCGTCCTACTAGACCGAGCACAGGATCTCAGCTTTGGAGATGAGATTGATAAGATCACTCAGCTAGTGAACGATCTGGGCTCATGTGGTTGTTGCGGAGGCACAAGTGCTATAAAATACGGGCCATATGGGGGGCCATCGCAAAGATGGATGCATAGGTTCATATAACACCACATTTTGATTCAAGGTGTCAGGAGTATTCGTGAGCAAGATCTGTCCGCACTGCAGACTAGCTACACATCCAGTGGTGGTCCTTCTAATGATCATTGATTGTGTTGGCGGTACTGATCCCGGGCAAGCCGTATCTCCCTTCACGGTATGTGAGGACAACACAAGGTTGATATCATTAGACGCCAGAAGTTCGGGATCTCGTCACGAATCTCGGCAGTGACAACAAGCAAGAGCAAAGAGCAGGAAGGGAAACAAATAGAAGGATTCAACAAATAAACTGAAAGTTTAAGCGTCGACTAGAGCCGTAGATCAAAGAACAGACAGCTATGCGGTGAACTACCTGTCTTCCACGTTGAAACGGTAGGACAGAATAGCCACCTCGGGGCAAAATCAAGAAGATCCGCCCCATGCTTTCTTCACAATATCCCAATACCGGTGCTCGTCTTTTCTTACATGCGCGACGTGAGCCGAGCCCTCGAATCTCTCTAGTTTGACAGAAAATCCCTTTGCCTCGGCATCGGCCGCATGGCTCTCGACGCCTTTATCGTCAATCAACACATCGGCACCGCTATAGATGTACACGCGCCGGGCCTCAGTCTCGGCAGGCTTATTGTTATGAGCCTTTCCCCAGTCACCTGAGCTCGCCACAAGACCCAGTGCAATCAAGACGGACCACGCGATAGCCCAGATATAGAGGAGTGGTGTGGCAATTATCCGCTGGAATGACGGCATGTTGAGGGTCACAAAAGTCACCGCATGGCCAATACTGTAGACACTCGGGCTGGAATCAAGAATGGTGACATGTCGTGGAAAGTGCTCGCCAGAACCCGCTGAAGCTGCGAATTGTTCATAGAGATTGGCAATGCTACCAGAGCCACCGTTTGAGAAAATGTGAATCAGGACCTCGGGTGACGAGGGCAGTGGTCCTGGCGGGTGGACGTCACGAAGAACGGGGACGGCAGCTTTCATGGCTGGTCCAATGCGTGATGGTCTGTAGATTTCTGCTGTCGTATTCTTGAGGAGCAGAATCTGGGCCCCGGGATACAGCGCCTGGTATTTAACGATATACTTGGCTATGTGGACATCTCTGGCATCCGTCCAGCTGCCGACGATGATGAGCCGCGGATGTTTGTTTGCAGAGCTAGAATTCGATGCCTCTGTTTTCTCTGGGCGGTATAGTGAGACCAGTCGCCCAAGCTTCTCCATGAAGAAGAGCGGCTTCGGTGCTGATGCTCCCGGGGCTTGCTGCATGGTACTACAGGGACTGAGACGCGGTTTCCTCGTAGAGATGGACCAAATGTGCTAATGTCGAAGATGAAGGAACAGAGTGTATGTGTTGGCTTTCATCATCAGAGGGAACAGTCCACATTTGCAATGCCGAAGGAAGGTTGAAACTTGGAACACCGCGTCCTAATTTCTCACCTCTCCACCCTTCAACCACCAAAGCTTGGTCATGTGGATTGTCTGACAAAAAGTGACGGCCTTTTAAGACGAGGGCCCCTGCCGCCTTGTGGGAATAGAAATGTAATCAGCTTATGCCTCCGCGATCCCTGATCGTTGAACTTTTTCAGCTTGTTACCCCTGTTTCTCAACGGCATCCTCTAATGCAAGCTTTGGGTTGGGACCACGTCTTTGCGACTGACGGCATCTCAACTAAGCTTATTGGAATGCAAATATCAAGAATTGAGAGCGTTTCAATACTTGGCAGAATGGGGTATTGGTTAGAGTAAAGGAACATGACGTAGAACTTTGGAATAATCTGTGATATTGTATTTCCTCGTCGATTGTTTTATCCTCGTCGCACTACCTATTCATGACCTGGTCATGACCAGTAGGACGCTGTATTTCCATTTCTATATCAATTATACCTCAGTCGATTGGTTTGAACGTAATTGACTTCTTACAACGCTGAATGGTGGCCCCTTCTGGCGAGAAAAGCCTCATAGACTTTAAATTGCACCTTGCTAGTCGTTGCTTTTCTTTTTGTGCCGGAAGGAGTTCATGGCTTGCTTCGCATATATTCGTATTAAAATTCTTACGAACTGCTGGCATTAACATATACAGCCGCACCTAGAAAGGCACACTTGGCTCCTTTCAAATCAGGACCATCTTTTTCATTTGACGCTTGACGGTGTCAGGAATGGTCAGAATTTATTGCATGAATAGCAAGTCTCTCCGGATACGGATGTGAAAGGTCAGGGTTCACACGTTTATCGCCACCGCATGGACCTCATCACTCTGCAAATATTTTGATTGGCATTTTATCAACCATCAACCTTCCCATTTCCAGGTTTCCTTGCCGCCTAAGTCTTTGAACCACACAGCCATGCCATATCGGAGTCGCCATGGTCGCCGCGTGGGGTCTGCACCGCCGATGAGGTGCTATCGAGCGGGCACGTGGAAAGAGTATATCAATACACCGCTAGAGCGCAACGAGGAGGATGAGGCCAAACTACAACAAATCGAACAACGTCGCGGCATTCTCAGTCAAGCAGAACTGCAACTTCGCGATGAAATCATGTCTAGGGAAGCCGATCGCCGGGACACCAAATGCGCAGCTCTGAGAAGAGAGATCGAGTCGTATTTTGACAAACCTGAGCCCTTTCCGCCGCCGCTGCCACGATCAAGTTTTTGGCTGGAACACACCTATCCTCATAACTATCAAATTGAGCACATACGAATGTTCTATCTAGCCTGCCAAGAGGGGAGACTCAAGGACGTTCAGGAATGGGTGAGGGACAGGCGAGATTTGCTCGGAGCGGTTGGACTGCAGGATGGACTGGACGTAGCCGCCATGGGTTCCCAAGTTCATGTTGTCCGATACTTCATAGAGGAAGTGGGTGTTAGTATTACAGCTGCTGCTGTGAGGTATGCGTGCAAGAACCAGTCTTTTGCTCTTTTTGAGCTATTCCTAAAGCACGGATACCACCCGAACCAGCAAATACCAAGTAATTGCGGCCACTTTGGGACAGCTCTGCGCCACTGTCTTGGGGCTGACGATATCACGCGTCTTCTCCTCGAGAATGGGGCTGATCCAAACGCAGCGCGTATGGACGGCCATAGTCATATGTGGGGTCAGCAGTCGACTGTTCCTATGGACAGGACGTCTGGTTTGCTGTTGGACATGACTGTTGAGAAACACAGCTTCGCGGTCGTCAAGCTTCTTCTTGAGCACGGCGCCGATGTGAGATATTCCCGACCACTGGCACGAGTAGTCCGCTACCGCGGTGAGTACCTTCGTTCTCTGGGTTTGGATGATGACTGGCGACCGCTCATGGAGATGTTGTTGAGCTATGGTGCAGATATCAACGCAGTATCATATGGTGGTGGTACAGCTCTTTCAGCAGCCGTGCACCGCGGGCGATGGGAGGTCGTTGAGTTTTTGATTCAGAACGGTGCAGATGGAAGAGCTGTTACTCCAGTGACGAAGGAAGATTCTTTCGCTGTTGCCGCCAAGTGTGCTAAGGTGGAATGGGAGGTTACAGAACAGCTTAAGGAGTCCTTGGATTGCCTCTGCGACTTGGATTCCAGTTCGGTTGCGAGTCATATGCTCCCTCCCGGGGTAGATCAAAATCCTCTAGTCAAAATACTACTGAAAGTAAAGACTAGAAGAGACGAGGCAAGCGGACAAGACGATGGCAAATAGCCATAAAGCCAATGAGATCGAGGCTACTTCCTGGAACATAACGGGGAGGATATATCGTGGTTCCAGACAGCATACATACTTCAAACCAAGAAAATGTAGACCAACCCACATTGACTTAACCTAGTGAAAACTTCCCATTGGCATTAATAAAGACTAGGACTTTCGTTATACATGGTCATAGGGAGACATTATTTAATTAACTTTCTTCCAGGTCTCGAGTCCCTGTTTCTTTCTCTCTCCCTCATATCGAACCAGGTCAGGAATTAGGTCCACCAAGTCTGGCCCCTTGGGCTCCCAACCAAGCAGCTTGTTTGCCCGCCTCGCTGTACCCTTGCTGTTAAGGCCCCAAGTCATGGGTTCCATGCCGTATTTCTCCTTGGCCATATCAACATGAAGGTGAGTCTTTTTGGGCGCCTTGATAAAACCCTGCTTCCAGGCTTCTTTGGCGATAACCTCTGCGACTTCGCCCCATCGATGAGTGCCTTTCGCGGCAAAGTAGTAGCTTTTTGGGCCAAAAATCTCCTTGTCAGAATTATGAGTCCCTGAATTGTTGGTATGTTGCACGAGCAGCGTAATTAGGCTAGACAGGTCGTGAATATGGACATGGTCCCATTCAGCAAGGCCCTCTCCAATAATAGGTGCTTCCCCGTTTTCGATTGTTAAGGCGCTTAGCAAGGGAATCTGGCGGCTTCGCTGACTGACAGGACCTCTTCCAATACCGTAAATGGTTGGGGGGCAGACAATGGCAATTTTTACCGCCTCTGGATCCTTGGTAGCCTCCGCGAGAACGATTTTGTCAACATTGCGATGCCAGGCGTACTCAGGAAGATTTAATATAGCGTCAATACCATCCACATCATCATACGCCTGTTCTGGCAGCGGTGGTTGGCCAAAGCGCTGGTGCTCCCAGTCATACCAGGTAAGGATTCCCGTGCCGCCGATGTGAATGTAATATCCGGGGTTGGAGTGCGTATGCGTGGCCCGGAGGCCATCCGCGATGGCTTGGGCCGAGGCTGGATGATCAGAAGAATCGGCAGTATCTATTCAAATTCCTCGTTAGACGATAATTCCGACCACGTTGTTCGGTGATGGTGGTTTATTCTCACGGATGACGATGTCGGCTGTAGATGCGGCATTCCTGATGATTTCGGCATCATCTAAAGAACCGAAGATAATCTTGACATGGGGGTATGCATCTTGTATCTGCTTAGCCTTCTGTTCATCTCTGATTAGGACAGAGATATCCCAGTCGGGCTGGGCTTTGTGCACTGCGTAGAGAGCATCGCCACCAATGAACCCGGACGCCCCGGTGCTGGAAGAAAAGTGTTAGTTGAATGGGCCGTTGAGCAACGAATGGCCGAGGGTTGGAGCTTACAGAAAAACCTTCTTGATTGGCATATTCCTTTAAAGGCTTTCTTTTTACTAGTGATTAGCACAAGGACCAAGTATACTGAATTCAGGATAAACTGAGAATCACGCGAGGCATTTAATATCGTTGACTGGTGATGTTGCCAATCCCCACCCCTCCCCCGCAGATGTGAAAATAACGTCATCGACAACAATCGTCATGAAAATTTTGTATTTGGCGAAGATACTTCACAAAAGAACACTAGCCTTAATTATAATGGCAATCTACTCATCTTCGAGCCTCAACATAATCGTCAGCCCGTTCATTAGAAATATGAAACTTCCCAAGCGAGTCGAGTTTGATTCCCGTACGAGTTCAACAAAACGTCTCAGTGGAGGAGGTAAGATATTTCAAGGAGCAATGTAGCTGTCACGATGCCTATACTCATAACGAGGTCGAGAATACCCATGCACGTAAATCCTCTAGGCGGTGTTGCTTCGATACCCGGCGTTATACCTATCTACTCACAGTCACTGCTACAGTGGATGAAGTAAGTGCTTGATAAAGAGCAAGCGTATTTCCGAGCGGATCAACACATGGAGAATGAACTTTTGATTGGAAATATATATTTTTCTCTCATAAATCTTCGTCGCCTTTTCGAAGGCTTCGGTTGTATTCTGCAAATCCCTTGCTGAGGTGAAGGTGACACCTCAGCTAACTCCACTATCCTAACTATTCCTGACTGAAATTCGCTCTTTAGAGGACCGATTTCCAGAGTCTGGGTTTTCCGGGTCCATTCCTTTAGCGAGTTGACTCTGTAAAGCTGGGATAGTTTTGCTTGAGTGGTGGTGTCCAACGATGGGCTTCTGTCTAAACCGTGGACCAGCTGGCAACGGCAGTTCCGGTCAGGGCCGCACAGGTGTTTCCTGAAGCTCGGATAACGATGCTACCAGTGCAGTCTGCTCCAGTCCACCCAGCGATAGAAGCGCTGGCGCCAATGAGTTGGATAGAGCCGGAGCCGGAAACAGCTTTGTTGTTACAGGTGCCGTCATGGTAAATATTGACACCATCGCTATTCCCAGAGCAATCACTGGTGGGGAAGTAGACACCGTAAAAGTCGGCGGCTGAGACGCTGGCCGCAGCAGTAAGTGCGAGGACTGGGAGTGAGAATCTCATATTGATGTTCGACAAGATTATTGTTGGGAGAGTAGTGAGGGAGTGATAAACGTCTGTCGTTACTGACTGAAGATGGCTGAGATAAGAAACAATTCGCGAATGAATCGTGCAACGTTATATATTGAAATAAAGTACAAGGGGTTGTCACAACCAAGAACTGCCGGACGGAGATTCCATCCCAATGCTTTGACCTCGGGGATCCACAAGGCAATGTTGTCCGAGTATATTCAACACCGGTTTTGCCATACAAGGGTCTCTCCGCAGAAAATATTTTCCAGACGGGGATTCTCATCCTAATACTTTGACTGCATCTGCTTGGGGATCTAGAAGGTAATATCCGAGTATATCCAGCATTAGTTTTGCCACCCAAGGTATCGAGTTTGAGATCAGGGTCAAGCGAATAGTATGAATATTTCCTATTGAGGTTGCATTGCGCGCAGCAACTGCCGCAGTAGTGAGCAAAACAAGGACCTGTTCCCCTCCTTTAAAATTGGACTTCCAGTTTAGTAAGGTGTTAGTCATGTTTCTTTGCCAAAATCCCGCTGTCAGCAATTGACGGTCAGCTTACTCGCGTACAGAAGAGCCCGGTTTGGAAGGAGGGGAACCATCAGATTCTATGACCTGAAACGCTTCTTCCGGTGACTGTGATTCCCAACGTTAAGAGGGATACATTCAACCCAACCAACCTCTTATATTCAGCTTCAAGAAACATGTACTAACAGACATGCCAAGGTCATAGGCATTCCAATTGGCTTTATTAGCAAGGGGGGTATATTAATTCAGGTTTCTCTTAGGAGAGCTACAAGTGGGACGCCACAGAACTGGAATATCTCAAGAATCATTACCAATTGGAACCTGAAACTAGAAAGTCTCAAGGCTAAAAAGAAAATGATCATATAAATTCACTCGCTCATATCCCGAGTTGATAAGTTTGAACGTAAGACGTAGTTTAAAAGTAAAATCCAGTACCTTCTTTCACAACCAGCTTACCTCCTTAGCCATTGGCTGGTCATCATTCAAGCTAGGCCCGCTAGGTTGACCCCAAACCGAGCTCAAACATGTACATATTTCTTAGGTTACAGAATGCACCCAAGCAGTTACTGCGTGAGTACTTACCCGATTGATCTAAATAAATGCTGAAAATATGCAGTTCAAGCAGGCCCTGCCATGCCAGGCATGTTATTTGGCGCTATAGTTAATCGGAGTAAGAATTAACTAATACCATTACCAAAAATTCTACCAGGCAAGTGGTGAAATGTTGTAACCTAGCCAGCCTTTATACAGTATTGAGAGTAGAATGTTATCTAGTCGCTTTTACCAATCTAATGTGCAGTTTTTCGAGTGCAATCACAGCTTTTCAAAACTACAGCATATGAAACACGAAGAATGAGGTCAACTGAAGACTCTAACTTGTGGCCAAGTTGTGCAAATTTGAAGAACTCCGTCCCAATCTAAGCTACCTAGGTACCTACGTGTAGGTGAATGCTAAGAGGCGGTTCAGATACACTGGTGGTGAACACGGGACTGCAGTCAAGGGGACTCAAGTTGTTCAATTCGTTAGGTTTATCATGGTAGACTAAAGTGTTGACGGTTGGGGACATGGGTATATTTATTTTTTGTCCAAAGTCTTTATTATCAATTCTTCGAAAACAAGTGGACTCTTTAAAATGAAAACACCTGGTCTTCAAGCTTGCTCACCGGACGTGCTTTCTCAAACCCAAGATTCTCTGTAGCTTTTTTCATGGCACTGATCATCGGGGGCGGACCACAAAGTAGAATCTTCACATCCGGTGCCGGCTTAGGGAGCCATTTCTACAAGAGAAGAAAACACGTTAGCAATGACCTGAAGCATGGAGATTCGGCACCTGTCTTACCCTAATCATATTCTCCGTCACGAAGCCAACACCACCGATAAATCCCTGGGGCGGCTTATCCAAGACGTAGTGGACTCGGAACTTGGGATCAGCCACTGCAAGGGCGTCGAGATCTTCCATAAGTAATATATCCTGCTCCGTTACGTTGGCAAAGATTAGATCGACCTCGGTCACATCTCCAGCGCCGCGCCCTCGATAAATGGAGGTCACAATTTGCAGCATGGGGGTGAGTCCAGTTCCGCCTGCGATCATGCCAAAGTGGCGAACCATGTTTGGCTTGTATGAGAAGGCTCCTTTAGGGCCACGGACCCGAATAGACTGGCCAATCTCGAGAGCCTCGATGTGCTTTGAGATGTTGCCTTTAGGGTATGTCTTGATGAGAAGGTCGAAATAGCCAAGTTGGTGATCGCCTGAGACTGGGGTGTAGGAGCGGATAATTTCTTTGGAGGTGCCGTCTGGTTGAGGCAGAACAGCTCCGATGGAGATGTGCTGGCCGATTGGAAGCCCGAGTACTGAGTCTTCTGAGGGCAAACTGAAGCGGTATCTGCGAAGCTGTCAGTATCTATAAAGCAAGATTGTCCGATGTTCATCCCTAACTTACACTGCTACATTGTGTGAAATATTTGACTTTTCTTTTAATGGGAAGAATTGGAAGGAGTCTGGTCTTAAGACGGTTGTTGGGCTGATTGTGATTTCTTTGATCTGTTCGATGACCTCAGTCTTTTTGGCTTCGGAGACGGTATTAGAGGAGATGTCTATGACAGTTGGTGCGACATGGACTGTTGTCTCTGGAATTGTAGCGGGAGATGGTGTGGTGGCGGCGACATCGGAGACTGCGGCCGATTTCAAAGTACCGACGCAAAGAGTTTCCAAGATTTCCGCGGCTTCTTCCGAGTGCCCAACATCTACGAAAGCCTCGGTTGCGTCCTGTCCAGCGACGTCAGATATTAATTCTCCACCGCCACTGTTGTACGATATGTCAGCCATGGCTCCTATTAAGAGACGAAAGCCCGCGCGAGCGTACGCAGTCACGGAATAGAGAGTAAACAATGATGGCGGGGCTACCTACGGGTGATCTGCCACAAACGAAGTGCAGCTGTAGACTTTGTTGTGGACAACGATGTAAAGATCATCTGCTGTATTGTGCCGCTGCACATCAGCAAGTGTGAACTCTTGGGTCATAATGCTAGAGGATGTATGGAGTTTGGGGATAGATTAGGAAAATGGAAAATGAAATCGCTAAGAATTAGGTGGCCAAGATAAATATGCCAATTCATGTATCATAAGGATCGCCCTTTATATTAGTCCATCCGAGGAGAGGACCGGCTTCCCGTGGGCCCCGACGCCGACCCGAGTGGGCATTGCTAATCGCCATAGACAGGATTGGGCAGTGCTATCACCCAGGTAGGCTTCCAGATTTCCCCAGACCCACCGTCGAGTTCAGATCCTCCGATATCGTTACGTATTCGAAAGGCAGCACGGAAGTGTAAAGTCATGAGGTGGACATGCCGGACGCCAACAATGCTTGGGGGCAGTCTGGGGCAGTACGGCCTCATCCAGGACGGCTCTGAAGCGAACACATGTTATGGGGACGGAGGAAGGCCTGGAAGCCGGCGGTGCATAGATAAGGCATGGCGACTTTTCCACAAGAGGAAGCTTACATGCAATGTATGTGTTGATCTAGCCTTTGCTGGCGTAGGCCGGAGTTGTCGATGCCTTCCCCACCCGGCGCACGGCGTCAGACTCCGTGATTTAGCACCACGGTTGATAGCAACAGCGAGGCCTGATACTACGTAGGAAGCAGCATGATCACTCGTCTGGCCCGCGTGACAACACCGGCGGCTACGCTGGCCAGCCCCGGTTGGTGTTTCTGAAGCGAGCTGGTCCGCTATCGTATCTAAGATAATGTTGCAGTATCGGTGGCTAGGGTGAGGACCCGGCTCCGGTCCAGAGCTGTCATAGTTATCCATTCCCGTGAGGCGGGGAGGAGAGGCCGGGTTTGAGATGAACGCTGGATAGGAAAAACTAGCCGTTTTCTATCACTTCCACCGGCTATTGATCCGCCCACATTAGTCCTCCAACACTGAGTTTGCAAGACTCAAAATCTCCCTGACACAATCATCAGGCTTCTCTAAGTTAACCCAGTGACCAGCCCCCTCCACGATAACAGTCCCCTTATAAAGCCCCGCCTCTACACTCTTCTCGTTTTCCATTGCCTCCAATGCTCCCGGAACCTGATAATTGCCCCAGTCCTTTGCGCCGCCAACATGTTTGGTAGGCACTGCTAGTCTTTTCCCGGCAAAGACAGTAAGCTCCTGTGCCAAATCCGGGTCAGTGAACACCTTGTACCATCGTAAAGCATCCTTGAACGAAGTCCGCGACCACTCTGCGGTATACACAGCAAGCTCCTCGTCTGGGAGCCAAGGAGTCTTTGGCAGGTTGTCCCTGATAGCGGAGGGCTCCTTGGCCATGTCGAGCGCCACATTCTCTCTCATTGAATGTCCTGCGCGCATGGTGTAATAATGTGGCATTACGGCGAGTTCATCCGCCGTCCACGATTTCAGTCGACGAGGTTGGTTCCCTCTATGGTCTGCTGATTTCAGGTGGAAATATCCGCGCAGAAATTCGTGTAGAGGCTCGCCAGCTGGGAAGCTCCACTCATCCGCTGCCGCAGGGGACGTATTATACCACTTGTAGAGCTGCCTGGGTGGGTTGAACTTGAGTAAGGAAGAATGAATGTCCGGATCTTTGACAATCGAGGTGTCTTTGGATAAGCTATACGGCGGCAGCTTCACTCCTGAAGCCTTCTGGTTTCCAAACGGAAGAGCCGGTGGCCCGCCAAATGGATGATCGAGAAGAACAAGTGACTTTACCACGTCGCTACGTGTCAAAGTGAAGATAGAGGCCGTCGCCGCCCCAAGGTCATGACCAACAAGAGTATGGACTGACTCATAGCCCAGTGCATGAACAAGCGCCGTCACGTCACGAGCTAGTGTGAGAGGCCGGAAGCTCTCCTCGGGAAATGGCTTCAAATCTGCTCGATGTGTGCGGCCAAATCCTCTCTGGTCAAATGCGACAACATAATACCCAGCCTTGGCGAGGGAGGGCATTACATGAATCCAATCATACGCAAGGTTCGGGAAGCCATGAATGAGAAGAATGAGAGGCGTGAAAGCCCCGGTGACTGGATTAGTTGGTATGGATTCTAGCACGTGAAATTTCGGACCAATGGGCGAAGTGTCAACAAATCGAGACTTGATTCCTTCCGGGAGCGTCAACGGCGGCAAATCCGCAGGGTTTGGAATGAGTTCTAGATCTGCCATGGCTTGATTTAAGGACTACAGATCGGATTGGAACAAGGAAGAACTGCTATCTTGGAAAGAAATGTGGTGAAGGAATATCACGCTGACGCGACCCCTCACGTCGGTTAACCGAGGCTCCGATTAAAAATCAAGCGCGATCGGCATTGCTGATGGTCAAGTTAGTCATTATTTTAATACAATCTCTATTTTCTTACAAAAATTAAAGGCCGTATCTGTTCCTAGAAATCATTATTCTGCAGAAGAAATACAGTAGAGGAAACTGAACGGGCATAATACTATCATCATCTAGATAATTAGGCCATATCATCTTGACCGGTCTGTGTAATTAGAAAGGGCATAGCCAGCCATCACATGATTGCTCTCCGTCGACAGTGGCTTCAGATACCGCTATGCAGACCTGAACTGATGAATGAAATGTCTTTGACTTGCTGAAGAATTCTTATCTGACCCGGAGAGGGGTCATAGGGGTGCAGAGTTTATCTACGGGAAGGGGCATTCAATTAGCTATATCTGCATAGTTTACTTCGGATATGCCTAGATTTAAGCTCGGGTTATGTTTTCTATTCAAATAAAATACATCAGCCTCAAGAGTGCTTCAGGCCTTCTGGGCTGGACGCTGACTGGCTTCCTAGACTGTTAGTTCCTCATCCTTGTGGTCCTTGGAGTAAAAAGAAATGAAAACTTTCTGTTGTTTTGACAGCCGCCGAGATAATCTATATTCATGATCCAACCTTCAAAAAAGGCTCGTTTCTAGGTCATCCTCCTGGTGTCAAGATGATCGTTTCGAAGTATACCAATGAAGGCGCTCAAGAATTGTGGCTAATGACTTCAACATTACGCACAGAATATGTCGTTGCTATTTCGAGAGGAACGAATAAGTCATGAATTGTTCAACAAAGACTGGAGTACAAGGAACCTACTCGTCGATGGACCAGGAGACCCGGAAGAGCCCTCCATCTGGTAATTTATGATGCTAGCCACGTCAGTAACCATAATCATCCATTCTGCATCTTCCATTTATACTCACAAATATAACCCCGCATCAACGTAGTTGGATCCATGCTGGGTTGCAACCCACTTGTTATCCAAGTAAAAGTTGACGCTAACATCCCGACCGTTGGCATCTCGGATTTCGGCTCGGACAGTATGCTCTGCGCCGGGGTTTGGGTAAGGAAGATCTAGTGCAGTGACTTCACTCGAGGTGTTGAACGTGTTGAAGGATATATCGCCGCTGCCCTTCCACTCGGCGACATCAATCTCGGGCGGCCATCCCTGAACCGCCGTCAACCAAAAAGCAGGCCACGTGCCTTTGTCCACTGGGGCAAGGAAATCTGCGGAAAAGTCGAAGCCTCCGCCTGCCTGCACGGTGAATGTTTTCTTGGCGTGGATCGCTCCCGATAGATAGTTGATCGGAATATCCTTTCCGCCGTGATGGGCAGGCGGTTGGCCAGTGACTGGTTCCGAGGTCAAAACAAGGTATCCTTCAGCTGTAGAGACTTGGGTCTTGTTCATTCTTGCACCGCCATTGTGGTCACTTCCCCATGGATAAAGATAATTCCAGTGTGACTCAAAGGAGGAGAAGGAGTCCGACGGAATGAGTGTAGTCTGCCCACAAGCCAATGCAGCAAGTTGGGCAACGGTATAGAGTTTTAATAGCATCGGGGCAAATTGTAATTAAAATTGTAAAATGTTGATGCTCGTGGAATTTTAAGATGATTATCGTGGTTCCTTACTTCGAATTTATAATAACTCTTGAGACTATTGATTTCTCCCTACGACGGGACCGCCAGTTTCATGTCACCGTTTCATGAGCCAAGATATGTCACGATCGTCCAACATCTTTACCCGGACGAGACCTGATTGGCGAAATTCAGCAACAGACTGAAACAAATTGGCCACTATTCCCATTGGGGTGGCCCTCTGATCGAATACGAGCGACAATCTTTCTGGATGAAGAACGGACAGAAATCTACCGAGGCGTTAAACACACAACGTTGCAGTATCTGCCAACACGAAGCGGATTCTTGAACTGTATGGCCAAAGTGCGCGGTTGATTCGTGCGCCTCAGGTTTCAGGCGTTTTACCTGGCATTTTTACCAGGTAAAGCAGTTCTTGCTTCCGGATTCCTCAGCGAACATGGCGATGAATTCCAAATCCAACCATATGATGCGCCAAAGTTCCCACCATGAGGAATCACGTTATTGAGTGCCAGCACATCATGATCATCTCAGCCTAAAAACTCCACATACCTACAGAGCCACTTCCACAGTGTTGACAGCTCTTACTTGTTTAGATAATCTCACCACATCGATAGCTCGCACTCCGCTGAATGAAGCTGGATGAACATTGATCGACTATTGACGATTCACATTAGTCATGAAGGAAGAACAAGCGAAGAGGTTTACAGATAAGGCCTACTGGCTCCGAGATACCCGAATTGCACACGAAATGGCCGAGATCAACTGAAATATCTGGGCTAGAAGATTTATGGATCTACTAGAACCGATATTTGATTAAAAGGTGAATGTTCTCATAGCGCAAATGGCCTCACGAACCTGATTGGTACGGATAAGTGTCTGAGCGGAAGCCAGCGGATGAAATAGTAGCCTAGCAAATGAATATCTGAGTCCGATCAGTCAATTACCTAATGATCTCAAACCTTTTGTATAATCAAGATAAGGTTTATTTGTGAATTAACCTCCCGAGAGAGGCTAATGTTCTCCTGGCTCTTGGCCTTCAGGTCACTTCCCCAGACTAAGAACCCCGGAAACCAAGGCGATCAAATTTCCGTTGCTCTAGTAGGACCTTTTTTTAGTTCAGGATGCGGAAAGATACAGAACGTTCCGAACCTGGGGGACTGCACCCCGCACAAGCCGGAGATCCTATGAAGCCATGCTTATATCCAGCAAATTTGATTGGACATGAGATGGGGGAGTCACAAAATCGGCGAGCTGCATCGTGGGGTATGTCTCCATTGCCCCCAGATCCTTTGAACCGATGCTTTCACCGCCTTACTACGCCTCAAAGATGTGGCATTGCGGAGGAAGACAGATCCAGATATTTCAAACACAACCAAGACTGCTGGAATTGAGGCAGCTACGAGGCCAGGGCATATCGTTATCGAAGCCCCCGCCGTTTCTTCATTTGGTTGAAGAAATGCGGCATAGCTTGAAAGGCAACCTTTCAGGGGGTGCTCGAAATCTAGCCATTACTCCCCGAGTGCGAGACCTCAAGTCAACCTCAGCCCCTAGACCCCACCTATATTCTAGTCTGGAATCACGAAATGATGATTGAGAATATGTCCCATTCTCGGGTAGTCGGGTATTGATAGCATATCTTCGAGCGAGGACTACTGCTTTGCCTGAACGCCAGGTCGGTTCCCCCGCATTCTAGCGCAGCAAAGGTTGGGGTTCCCAGAAGCTTGAGATCAGGGTCTGGGGTCTCGCCTGAACTCCAGTCGGAATCCGGGGTAAAGGTACCGATCTCGCTGCGGAAAGATTTCCGAATTACAATCAACATGAGCGTCTTTATCTATGCTAGCCCGACGAAAGTATCCTTAAACATAATGAGGTCCTTTCCTCAACAACGTTTGCAATTGTTCCTGTGTTCTCTGTGCTTCTACATCAGCATATCAATTTCCAGTGACGCTCAGAAGAAAGACATTGATCAGGGTCCCTGATCGTAGCTACAATGACAGAACTTGACAAAGGGGCAGTTGCTCACGATGAGAGCAAGATCGAAGAGTATGGCCCTATCTCCTAGCACAAGACATCATTAATGATTCGGGCATCCCTCTGATTCTGAAACGCTAGGATCGAGCTCGCCTCCTCGACGCAGTATTTCGACTCCCGAGAAGAAGATCGCCTACGAAGAAAGATCGATCTTGCCATCATGCCCACAGTCTGTATTCTGTTTCTTGCCTGTGTCATTGACAGAGCCAACATTGGTATGTCAACCTTTCCGTACATACTGCCTACACAGAGCTGATAGACTTGTGCCTTAGGCAACGCGAAAATTGCCGGCTTCGATAAGGATTTGGGTATGGTCGGCCCTGACTACAACGCAACCCTATCGCTATTCTATGTCGCATATATCGTGTTTGAACTCCCCTCCAACATCCTTTGCAAAAAGCTCGGCCCTGGAAGATTCCTTCCTGCAATCACAACTCTTTTTGGAATCACGTCCATTTTGAGTGGTCTAGTGCAGACCAAGGCCCAAGCGATGGGTGTTCGATTTCTCCTTGGTTTTTTCGAGTCAGGCATGCTCCCCGGTCTTGCCTACTATCTCTCTCGATGGTACCGTCGATCTGAACTGTCCTTCCGCATCTCTCTTTATATTGTGATGAGTCCTTTGGCTGGCGCGACAGGTGCTCTTCTCGCCTCTGCCATCCTCACACTGGATGGATTCGGTCCTTTCCACAGTTGGCGGATGATTTTCGCTATTGAAGGAATCGCCACAACCGTTATTGGACTAATCAGCTTCTTTACTCTCACGGATAGCCCAAGCAGCGCGAGGTGGTTAAGTGCCGGTCAGAAGGAGCTCGCTGAGGCGCGCCTAAAGTCCGAACGCACCGGTCAAACCAAGGTTCTCGACAAGATGGACAAGACAAAACTCCGCCGGGGCATCTTGAACCCCGTTACTCTCAGTGTATCCGCAGCCATGTTCTTTGCCAACATCACTGCGCAGGGCTTTACCATCTTTGCACCTACCATTGTGCGCTCCATCTTCAAGGACAAGTCAGTCGTTCAACAACAGCTACTGACAGCTCCGCCCTACTTCCTCGCCGCAGGCTGGACCGCAGCTGCAGGCTTGCTTAGTTGGAAGTTAGACCGCAGACAGATCATCATGATCCTTACTGGCCCTCCCACCATTATTGGATACATAATGTTCCTCGCCACGGATAACTACATTGTCCGCTATGTGGCGGTGTATATCGTGGCTTCCCTCATCTTTGTTTCCGGCGCTATCCCTAATTCCCAGATATCTGCCAACGTCGTTTCGGACACTGCGCGCACCTCAGCAATTGGTTGGAACGTGATGATTGGTAACACGGGCGGCCTCGTGTCGACCTGGACCTTTCTAGCATGGGACGCTCCCAACTACCCTATTGGCAACGGGCTGAATCTCGCAGCAAGTGTGCTTGTTCTTTTCTTTTCGGTGGGAACAATGGTCTGGATGAAGAGGGATAATGCTCGGCGAGAGCAGAACCAAGAGGAGGGCGAGCTAAAACTAAGAGGAATGACGCAGGATGAGATTGAGGATCTAGACTGGAAGCATCCCTCTTTCCGTTGGAAAATCTAGTGGAGGGTTTCATCGTATAGAGCCAGAGTATTCTTGGCCCTTGAGTCGAGATCTAGGACATACATCAGTTGAGTGGTTGAAATACAAGTCATCCGCCCAAATTTTCATTCTGCGTCTTATTCAACCCATTGTGTGGCCCAATTGCAGAGAGATCATTCCTTATTCCGTGCTTTAAATATGGAAAGGAATGTTACAGTCTTGCGACCGGATGACTTAAGCAAAGTTGTACCAGATTCAGTGCCTAGAGATAATGCCACTATACGAATGATAAGCCAACCTCCGGATCAATCCTTGCCTATCACCAAGTAGTCATTCTTTTTTTCTCCAGAATTTACATCTAAGTATCGCTTTTGATGTTGCTTTTCGCAAAATCTCTGCTCTATTCCAGTCTCTTCATGTTCTCAGTCAAATCGGATAATACCTAGTCTAGGGTAGCTCCAAATTTACCCCACCCCGCTCAAGCCTGCAGCTTACCTCAGCTCCACTTTGTTGTTGGTGACGCAGCGACACTTTTCTCCTCCATCACGCAAAACTGCTGCATTTGGAGTCTCTGCGAAATTGAGGTCCATCATGTCGCTAATTTCCTGCCCTCCGGATGTTCTCCTCATTATTCTTGAGCTTATTGTCCCTGTCTGGGATCCGGAGCGTCAAGCCCCCCAAACGCCCAACTCCGACCGACGTAGGCTGGCTTGGCAACATGGCTTCGAAGCTGATGGAGAGACAAAAGAGCACAAGGAGGCCAAAAAAACATTCCTGAGTTTGGCTTTGACCTGCAAAAATATATCTGAAGCCGCCATGATGATGCTGTATCGCGAGATTTGTCTCCCTACCGCCTCATCCATGGTTTATTTGCTTCGCACGCTTCTGAGAACACCTCGTTTACGATACTATGTCAGATCGCTTGCCTGCGCAAAGCATATGAATCAATTTGTTTACGAGGAAGAATCAAGAGCGCTCATGTTATCTATCGACTGGTACATATGCTCTATGTGCCCATTCGAGAGATCGGTATTTGGCTTGGCCAAATGTGAAGCCTTCTGCTCGGGCACCCTACCTTATCCTGAGGCTAACTTGGGCAACGAGTCCGGCGACGACGACCCAGAGGATTACCCAGTCAATTATGATCCGACCATACCAACTCCGCCATATCTAGTTCCAGTTATTGGTCCCTCGGTCTTGGCTTCGCTTCTCTGCCTTGTGCCGAATGTCACAAGCTTCTGTTTCGCTCCACCAACTGGAGATGATACTGACGTCCACAAAATATTGAGAGACAGTCTTGATAAAGCTCACGAAATATCAACTGTTGACGGCCATCCACTGTTAGTATTGCCAAGACTTTCCACGCTTGCCTTGTACTCTCATGCTGCCACCTTAACTGCACAATGGGAATGCATCTGGATACCATTCTGGGCTCGATTTTCCAAAGCGGGTATTCGAAAATTGAAGACTCTGCAAGCATATATGTCTTTTGAAGAATTTAACGAGGGAACGGTGGATGTCCTGTCCGATGAAGAGACAGAGTACTTTCAAAACCAGGACCGCTACATCTTGGAAGCCAAGTGGGAAGCCCTTGAAGAATTCCAGGCATTCTTGACAGGCACATGGGGGATGGAGTGGTTTGGAATCTTCAAACTCTTTTCCCAGTTAAAAAGAGTGGAATTAACGCCTACTAAGCGACCAATGCTTCACCAGGAAGAGTTTGATCCCGACTGGGGCACCTTGGAGAGTGGTCTCCTTCAGCTGAGGACGACTCTCGAGCATTTCAGAATCGGTGGCCTTTACACCGAGACGATCGTGTCCGAGCTCGGACCCGACGGGATCCTCACTTGTCTATCTCAATTCACATGCCTTCGCCATTTGGATATCGCTACTTTGGCGCTCTTTAAGAACCCAGAACAAATGGCAACTTTTTCTATTGCGGAAAGGGTGCCTCAGTCACTAGATACTATCATATTTCGGGAAGAGTGGTTGCAAACCGACGTAGAAGATATCGAGTCCGGCACAAGCGATCAACAGCTCCAATATAGCCATCTTGTTATCGAATGCCTGAAGAAGATTGTCGATGATGAGAATGGGCTACCGAAACTTCGACATTTGGGCTTTCAAGAGCAGTTAATGGCCTGGACTCTGGGGCTTACCGCCAAAAACCTGTCCTCTCTGACTGAAGGACGTGTTACGTTCAACGCATACAACGATAAGGGACTACCAATTAACCTCGAAGAGCTTTCGTTTGCTCCCCATATCGAGGAGGATGGAGCCAATATCCCGATCGCAGGGCCAACCTCGTCTGAAAGGGTACTAACGAGTTATTTTACCAATCGAGATTCAGATGGTGAGACGTGGTCCCCCTAAATTAAGAATATTCCTAGCAAGATTCATCACGCCGAGCCCCAAGGCCCTGGACAGTGTACTACCTGGGTGCTATTTCTAAACAGCGAGTTGCAATACACGCCGTGACCCTCACCGTCACGTAACCTCACTAGATTTGGCCAACAAGATTTAGGTTTATAGCAAGAATTCAATATAAGTGTTTCAAAATTAACATCTCTATGTACTCTTGGCCTGATATTCTGCACTCGAAGCTTGGAGCAAGCGGGGATGGGGAGCCGAAGCATTGACTTAGGATATCCCGGTATAAGCGGCCTCGCATTCTCAGTCAACGCTGAAGAACAATGATTTATCTTCTATTTACTGGATATGATCTGACGGGGTCGTGAGTTGATAGCATGATTAGTGAAACTTTTACTAATTCACTTTAATCTCTATAATATTTTCTATCGCGCCGCAGGTTCAGGTTGCGGTATATGTCGGAAGCAGAGGCCTGTCATGATGCCAGCAGAGCCTTTGCGATTGCTTCTTTTGCTTCAGTCAACTTGAAATTTTGAATGGGTAGTTCTGACCAGAGAATCTGCTGAGCTACGCCCTGCCAGATCATGGCCTCGGTGCCATAGATCATCGTCCAACCACCATTGATACCCAGCTCATAGAACTCTGTTCGCGGCCTTGGGAAATAGCACATTTCGAGAATGCAACCCTTCTCGGGCCTGTTGAGAAAATGGTTGGAAACCTCCCGCGCAAGGATCTCGCCTGGCGACTGGGGAGGGAAGTCAGGTACAGTGCCCACCATCAGGACGGGCGTCTCCAAGGCGGCAGCCTGCTCAATGGACTTGACGTGGACCAATTGACCAGTAAATCCACTCTCTTTGAGAGATTCTATGATGCTTTTAACCTCCTCGTCGAGTCGATTGACGAGATATACTTTGCTAGCACCAAGCCATTCAGACAGAGCGTAGATGGATGCCCGACAAGCCCCGCCTGCGCCGACAACCATAGCAGGCCTGCCCTGCGCCCGCTGAACAATATCCGGATAGTTCTGTTGGAAAGCTTCGCGCACGCCGACGCAGTCTGTGTTTGTGCCAATGTATCTTGTGCTGCCATCCGGCGCCCTGCGGAGGAAGACTGTGTTGATGGCCCCAATGACACGTCCCTCGTCGGTGACGTCGTCGACCTCGCTCATCATCTTGACTTTGAAGGGCATGGTCACTGCACATCCGACAATGTCAGACTGCTTGAGCGCCGGGAGAAACTCGGATGCATCCTGGGTTTCGTGGACCTTGTACGTCCATGGGACGGAGATGCCGTCGAATAAGGTCGAGTGCAGCAACGGTGCCAGGGTGCGAGCTAACTTGTAACCAAATAAAAATGTGCGCAGGGGGGCCTCGCGTTTGGATGCATCCACGAAGCTGGTCCCGAATTTGAATGAGGCCGCCAGGGTCTCGTCTTCGGTGTGTGAAGTTGAACCCATCTTGTGTGCTTGAGACGATGGTAGTCAGACCTTCTGGGTGTTTTCGGTGCATATGCAATTGGCCAATCTTTTCATACCGCGATCATGTCTCAGATTAATACTAGACCAAAAATTGGTAGCTTGAGCCCTAGTCCGATGGTCGGATAAGCGTAGAAGCCCGGCAGAGAGCATGGCCGAGATCGCAACCGACGAATGCCCCAAGCCCATAATTTGGAGACAGAAGCCCCGCTCTGGCCCATTTTCATAACTACAGAATGCGCCTGGTTGGTGGAGGTAAGGCTAAGGTCAGGTCCGAGCTACGTGAGTTGCTGGGATGCATGTTCCCCAACAGCTGAGGGGAACGGCCTGCCGGAAACCTGGCACATTCTTAGAGATTGGGGAATTCTGTACTCAAGACAAGCAGTTAAGTTATTATCCGGTGGGCTTGAGATGTTAGTAGTATTGAGGGAATACGAAATACCCGGTGTAAAGCATCATATTTCACATCTCGCGGGTAGTGGCTGCCGGGCCTGTTGCGCCGTTGAAGAAGCTATTGGGGTAAGAGTGAAATCTTCAGGCCAATTCTTGGGGCATGGGCGAACTTCTCCTAGTTTTTGGGGAGGTGGTGGGTGGCCTACAGTGACCTAAACTCCTCGCTTCGTCACCGTTACTTGTCGCATCGCCAAATCAGTTCCTACCAAGCACTACCAATATAATACATACAAAAATTTCAGCTGATGATGTACAAAAAAAGAAACGAAGGAAGGAAGAAAGAAACGGGATATGACGCGATAGGCGCGGCGGTTTCAAGTGGCCTTTGAGCCAGTCTTAATCTCGCCCCAAAGAAGAAGCCCAGGTGCGTTTCCTAAAAATCAAGATTCAGCCAGAATCTTTGCTGGTCAAAGATGTGCTTCTCTCATTCAGTAATCTTAACAAGTCTTCCAAGCGCCAAAATCGAGAAAAATGAAACTACGTTTGAGTGCCTATGCTGAGCCATGTACCACTGTTCCCATCTAAGATCGTGTTTCAAACAGTGCTGCTCTACTCCTTTCTCCTAGCCACGATTGCGGACATTTTATACCCAGTTCAATGTGACCGCTACCGGCTGCCAGAATAATCGTCACAATGCTCCTATTCTCTAGCTAGTATGGCCCAAAACACCGCTAAAGCTAGGCAACAGTAAATAGTAAGCATGGCGGAGCTGTAGGATGACAGTAAGCGATTTCACTCCACGGGGCATATCGCCGCGTGATTTCTTAGGCAACTGGCTCAATCAAAGCCTGCCCTTTCCACCTACAGCACGTTGTGTGCACTAGCCATAACTATGATGCCTGGAATGGGAGTACTTAGTTAGATTAGCAAACAGCGACCAATTGTACAAAGACACAACCAACAACTTCTCCGTGTTCGTAACCAGCATTTTTCGAGTAGGATTGTACTTCGGGAGGCTGAGATGTGCGACCAGGCTATGGAGAATCGGTCGTCATCACACCCCTCAGAGACCCAAGCACCAGAACAGATTAAGCAATCTCAGAATCGGAAAGCTTTTTACAGATCAGGCGAGAAAGAATTGCTTCGCGGTAAGATCTGATCCGATATTTCATGCCGAAAGGGCCTGGCAGACCGATGGCTGGGTAAGAGTGTGCTGAGTCTATCCCGCTTACGGCGCCACATGGCTAATATCTTCACTACCCTCTAGCCTCTGCATTCCCGATAGTGTGCCTTTGATTGGTGAATAGGTGTTCGGTTCAAGCCCCCCTTGAGGCTCCACGGTAAAGATCTCTACCGGATGGAAGACTGGCCTTACTGGTCAGATGGAGTGTGGGGTTAGAGCTGGGGTAAAGTTTCTCTGGGGCAAACCTGGAGTAGGTTGCAGGACATGACTCTCCGCTCGCTCTAACGTAACTAACGGCACTGGCAGAGCAGCGCTAGACTGAACGTGAGGAATTGAAATAAATCTAGCCTCGCCCTCTTCCCTTACCTTTGGTGCCGCCGAAACTCATCACCTCCAACGAGCGGCCCTTCAGAGCTCGCTAAAGCCCCCATCCCAAATCTCTTTGTTACTCGCCTTTAATTCACTGTTGATCTAAATATGTTTTTCAAACGGCCAAAAGATGATTCTACCAATCCAGCACCGCCGGAGGTTTACAACTGGCGCATCTACGCGCTCGCTGCCTCCGCCGCGATGGGCTCAGCCATGTTCGGATACGACTCAGCCTTTATCGGTGGAACCATGTCGCTGCCTGCGTTCATGAGTCGTTTCCAGCTCTCGACGGCAAGCGGTGATCAACTTGCAGCTTTGAAGGCAAACATTGTTAGCACATTCCAGGCTGGCTGCTTCTTCGGTGTTATCTTTTGCTATCTCCTTACTGAGAAGATTGGACGCCGCTGGCTCCTTATTTACTGCGGCGCCATCTTCGATATCGGTGCTGTTTTGCAGCTGGTCTCTCCTGGAATCCTTGGTCTCATTTACGCCGGACGTGCTTTTACAGGTATGCTAAATGTTCCACTTTCCTCTCTTAATTTACCTGCATGTATTTTCAAAAGGGCTAACGTATGACTCCTCTGTCTCCAACAGGTATTGCTGTCGGCGCATCCTCGATGATCGTTCCCGTGTATATCTCCGAATCATGTCCTCCGGCTGTGCGAGGGCGTCTGATTGGAATCTTCGAAATTTTCATCCAAGTGGCACAGATCTTCGGCTTCTGGGTCAACTATGGTGTCAATATCAACGTCTCGCCCACCTCCGATTCCCAGTGGCATATCCCTTTCGCTCTCCAGTTAGTTCCTGGGACCTTGCTCTGCATTTTCATGTTCTTCCAGCCGGAATCTCCTCGCTGGCTTTTGAATGCAAAACGCACCGAGGACGCAAGAAAAGTGCTGAGCTATCTTCGCAACTTACCTGAGAATCACGAATATCTGAGCTGGGAGATCAACACGGTCCTGCAGCAAGTAGAGCACGAGCATGCTGTTGTCTCAAATAAGACCTTCATCGGGAAACTCCGTGAAATTGGGCTACCAGCCAACCGAAACCGTCTTCTTATGGGTATTGCCCTGATGCTCATTCAAAATATGTCTGGCATTAACGCTCTTAACTACTATTCGCCCTCTATTTTCAAGGCTATTGGGTTCACTGGCACCAGCGTTGGCTTGCTAGCTACTGGTATCTTCGGTATTGTCAAGGCCACTGCAACTGCAATCTTCATGATTTGGGGTATCGAAACTCTTGGACGCCGTAGAGCCCTACTCATTGGCTCCGTTGGGGCCATGATATCACTCTACTACATCGGTGCATACACTAAAGTAGCAAACTCATTCTCAGCCAATGCAGCTGCAAACTCCACCAAGGATGCTGCGGCTTATGTTGCGATCGTCATGATCTATGTATTTGCCGTGTTCTACGCAATGTCATGGAATGGTATTCCTTGGATTTTCTGGTAAGTTACCTTGATTCATCCTACTCCCAGATGTACTATTGTCTCACAAATTGTAGCGCCGAGGTCTTTCCAATGGCTATTCGATCCACCTGCCTTTTATTCACAACTTGTGCACAGTGGCTAGGCCAGTT